AATTTCCCATTCGTGATTGTTAAGTAATAGGTTTCTTAAATTCAAATGCAATTTGCATATTAACATTTAGTTTTTAACCCGCAAAAGGTGTTGCGTATAAAATGCGCCAAATGTGCATACTGTATATACAGAAGGGATAAAATATTTATATATATATATATATATGTTTGTATATATAATGAACACCGGATGAAGTGACCGTATATATAAAATTCTTTCGCTTATATATATATAAGAGACATGAGCGCGCGTGTACATAAATTTCCACGCATATATATAGTCATTGGAACACGGAACCAATTTGGTGGAAGAACACCAAATATGTTAGCGCGAAGGCCCAATACGACCAAGGCAACAACACTCTATATAAGTAGCAGGTGGAACGATACAGCTGCTGGACAGCTGGACCGATATATGTCTTCACCCGAGCTACATTTGGACGTATGTCGATATGATAACGTGACTTTTTGGCTCGCGCCTACCATAGTTACGCAATTTTATAATGTTATACCTTTAACGCACGTGCCCACAACTTTGCCGCCTTTTATAATATGAGTTTTTTTTTTATAAATGCATATAGGGCCTAGAATCTAGTTTTCTTTTGATACTTTTTAGGTATACTTAAATAATTAGATAAATTAGAAATTTGCCAACTCCCAAGTGCGAATTTAATATTTGAGATAGCCAAATAGTTTTCGACGCGAGTTCGATTCTTCATAAATGTGAATTTTTTTCTATTTAGAATTTTCTGATTAAGTACGAAATTCAATAAATTTTTTTTTCTATTCGTTTTATTTAAAACAAAATTATATTTTATTAACAATTTATATATATATATATATATATATATATATATATATATAAAGTATAGGAGACGATGAGATGTGCCAATAACCTCTTAATTTCTTGTGCGTGCACTGTTCGCATTTATCAGAAAAAACGCAGCAAGCAATCTCAACATTTTTTTATTTTTTTTTTTTTTTACTTTTTTTTTGTGCCAGGACCTCATAGTGGCAATAAAATCGTGTTTTCCGTTATCGTTTGGCTTTAAAACGTGCCATCGCGCGCTTAACGACCCAAAGAACGGAGAGCGAACTCTCTCGCATATATGCGCGCTAGACGGACAGAAGACAGTGGCCGCAGGTTCTTATCTTTTGCGGAACTATTGCCCCGTGTGGTACGACAAAATTCAAACGATTTACGAGAAATCGCGGATAGTGCTTTATTGGATCGTAATTCGCCTTTTTCTTATCCGCATATATATAAATGTGATAAATTTCTATACGGTCATGCGGAGAATTTCGAGGTTATATTATATATATATATCCCGGAAAAGGGGGGAAATTTAATTTCATCATCTAAAACAATTTCTTCTTTCAACACGATTCGTTTATTGAAAATTGTTTAGTATATTTAAAAATTTTTAAATATATTTTATTTATTTAAAAAAACTATTATATATACAATTTTAAGTCGATTTCGAAAAAAGACTGGAGGAGAGATGAAAAAACGGGTTTTGAAATTTTTTTTTATGACCTCGAAATGAATTTTTAATTGGCGTTTTGCTTTTTACGATACAAATATATATATATATATATGTATATTCAAGCTGGGACATTCTCGAAACATCTAGATTATTAATCATCGGACGTGAAAATAAACGTCGTCGATTATTTACAGATAGAATTATCGGTGTCATAAAAAATATTGCATGACTCGTAATGTATACCCCCATATAATACATTGAATAAAAAGATATATAATACATAAAATATATACAGTCTGCCTAAAAACGTGATTCGTGACATTCTAATTATCCAAATTACGTGTAAGTATTCGTCTTTTATTTTTATTTCGATAATTCAATCGATTATAAAAATGAAAAAGCAATAAATTTTTTTTTTAAATTTTATTTGCTATCATTGTTGATTTTTTTTGGAAAAAAAATTTTTGTTTGCAAATTCATTACTTAATAATTGATTTCATAATTCACGATTATAATTCGGTTATTATTTTGCTGTTTCTTTGTTTATGCACGTTCATTGTTTTTAAATTTGTATTTTGATTGAAAATTTTTGTTCCATTGTATATAGACTTGAAGAAAAATTTGTTTAAAATAATCACACGTTTGTTTTGTTGATTTAACTAATACTCCTGCTCTAGTGAAAATTTAGTGACTTTATAGTAACTTTTAATTTTAACTATAAACTAAATATTTACTAAAGCAGGGTTCGGTAGGTGACTAGAATTAGTAATTAAAGTTAATAAATAATTTTTTTTATTTTTTCCAGATAATCCACGACATGGTGCATTTCAATTTTGAAAGGAGGATAAACTGTTATCGCAGTGAAGAAAGAAAAAAAAGGGTTGTTTTATATTAATGATGAATAATAATGAGCTTAACTGCTTAATAATAATATAAATTCGGCTATACTACTATTCTAGTAACAAAACAATAATTCGCAACTAACGCACCCTGCTCTAGTGAAAATTTAGTGATTTTCTAGTAAATTTTAATTTTAACTATATAAAGGTTGGTTTCCATTATTCCCACTCGCCATTTGTTATAATTCTCGTTAACTACCGCACTCTGCTCTAGTAAAAATTTAGTGATTTTCTAGTAAATTTTAATTTTAACTATAAAGGTTGATTTCCATTATCCCCACTCGCCATTTGTCATAATTCTCGTCAACTATCGCACCCTGCTCCAGTGAAAATTTAGTAACTATTATTAAAATTAAAAGTTACTATAAAGTTACTAAATTTTTACTAGAGCAGGGTGCGCTAGTTGATGAGAATTATGACAAAAAGCGAGTGGGGACAATGGAATATATACCAATTTAAGTATCATAAACAAAAAATGATCCCTAAAAAAACTATGTATTGAAAATTAAATTCGTTAATTTTTGATAATCCTTTTTGAGAAATTCTGCCCCCTAGAAATATAAATAAAAAGAAAAAAGAAATTCCAAAAATTAAAAATTTAGTGAAATCATTATAAAAGAAATTCGTTTTATTCGTGTTGTTGTACTTCTGGCGGAAGTGTGTGTTGAGTTACGCTGTGTATAGAGTTGGAAGGACATGTTTAAAAACTAAGGCGCGCCAACCGTATGTGACTTTATATTATATAGTGCCGACAAAACCACGTGCAACACACATCTTGGAAACAGTTATAGATTTATGAGAGTAAGAGAGAGAGAGAGACGAAAGGGAGAGAAAAAAAGTGAAACCAAGAAATATTTCTTTTAAAGGGTTTTGCTTCCTTTAATATACGGTATATGTATATATATACATATATAATATTGTACGCTCTATGGTCAACAGGGGAAAACTATTTTTATTCCGAAACGTCTCATTTATTTTCAAAAATTACTACCGGAAAAACCATCACAAAAAAAAGAGTCGGAAATGTATATATATATCAATTTCAATTTTCTGTTAAATTAAACTGCTGTTACCATTTCAGTGGCATGTGTAATATTTTTTTTCTTTTTCTTCATAAATACGCGTTGACAGTTTTTTTTTTTAATTTTTTTTAAATTTTTTTTTTAAATGACTTTACATTTTTAAAGATTATTTCTTTTTTCATTCATAATATTATTAAAAGTGTAACAGTGATTATTTTATATAGTATAATGACTCACAATGCAATCGATTAACTTACTAAATAATGACCGAGTTTATTAATTATTAATTCAAGTTTCATAATAATTATTAAAATTAGTTTCACAAAAAAAAAAAATTTATTTGCCTGAAATAAAAATTTTATTGGCAAAGAAATTTTTCTATTTGTCTCAATACAAAATTTGTATTTAAAAAAAACTTGGCTTAAAACCGACAAAAAATTTCAATTTATTTAATATTTATTAAATTAAAATTTTTTTATTTTATTATTATTATTATTATTATTATTATTCATTATATTCCTTTTTTTTAATACCAAAAAAAAAATTTAATTTAAAAAAGAATATTATTATTTTTAAAAACATGATTTATTTTTAAAAGACGAATTCTCGAAAAAAAATTTGTATTTTTTTTTTTTTATTATTTGTTGCTGAGACTCGTGTGATTCTCTCATTTTTTTTTATTTTTAATTTGATGATTCCTAGTTCTCATATGTGTGTATATAGTACTATTCTATCTTTGCTATATCAACATTGTGAAAGAGGAGAAAAAAAAAAAAAATTCCCCTAAACACTCGGAACGTCAAAAGCATTAAGCAGTCAGATCAAAAGACGGTAAAAATAACAATTCACAAAGATATGTTACATTTAATGATGTTTTTACTTGGAAAAGTAATATTGCTTTCGGCTTTTGAAGCCCATAATGCTTATTATATGAGTCGCCTACAATAATGACAACCCGTGAAGCAGCTCAGTACTATCGGTTGCATAAGTACAGGCGTTTAATTATTATTTTTTTTTTTTACCAAATTTTTTCATATTTTTAAATTATTAATTTAATCAATAATTATTTAAAGTAATTAATTAAATATAATATTTATTGTAATAATTATAATAATAATTTATTTACATAATAATAATATTATTTTTATTTATTTATTTATTATTATTATTATTATTTCTATAATTATTAATTAATACTGCCGAGTGATAAATTCAAAGTAATATTATTATTATTATTATTATTATTATTAGTAGTAGTATTAGTATTTATTATTTTTATTATTTTTTTTATTATATTCTTAATATTAACAATTAAATATAATATAAATAAAGTAATTGATAAATTTTTCAAATTTATTTAACAATTTTTCTTAAGTAATATTTTAATTTTCTAATAAGAATAAGAAAAAAATAAAGAAATTTAAGTTCATAATTTTAATAAGTAAAATATTTTACCGCCTTTTTTAAAAACTTGTCCAATAGAAACACTTACCATCACAAAATTTTACCAACATTAATTTATTTTCCCCACAGTCGGTAAATGAACTTTGGCAGCGCCATCTCTAGTCACAATAGGCGTAACGTTAAGTAAATTTTGCTCACGCAATGATCGTGTTTTTCCCCATCTCTCATTAGCACTTTTTCATTGGTTCTCGTGAATATTTCAGAAGGAAATTGGTTCATCAATACGCGTTACTAACGGATTACAATTTTTCTTGAAATATCATCATTATTTTGTAAGTAATCAATAATTATTTATTATTTTAACATTAATTCAATATCAATTGATAATAATTGATAAAAATATTCAATACTTTTATCATGTGAATGACAATTTTTTTTCTAACAAAACGAAACAATTTTAAAACATAACCTCCCTCTTGTCAATTATATTGGCCTCTCTAATGCTTTAATTTTAGTTTTATTGTTTACACAATTGTTCTCTATATAAATAATTTATGTTTTCTTAATTATTCACCTTGGACATTTAATAGTTTTTATAGAAATTTTCTTTAGTTAGTGAAATATAATACACACGAAAAAAAGATTGAATCATTTTGACAAAACGAAAATACATATAGTCAATCTCGCATTTTAGTTTGCATGGAAAATTTTGGGTAAAAATCGTTTATATGACGCTTAATGGTAAATTTACATCAATATCTATTTACTGATAGTAATTTGTGTCATTAAAGGGGAATTTTTTTTTTTTCCTGTTAAATGTAAAATCTTGAGATTTCTAAATCGTGCATTATTTTTACTATCAAGGCCAATCAATAGTTTCATGTGAGTAAGATATGTTGAAATGGAATTAAAAAAAAAATTGTATAGAAATGTAATAATTTTTTGTGTAATTATTTGGAAATTATTATTATTATTATTATTTGTTGATTAAAAAATTTTTTTTACGTATTTTATATTAAAAAAGTTAAAAAAAACTTGATTAATATTTTAATTATATTTTTATTCTGAATTATTTTTTTCTATTAATTAAATTTTATTTCTTTTATCAGTTTACGCTTTGTTTATTTTTAGAAGTAAATTCAAATATTTTTTTATTTCCTCTATATTTTTTTAATTGAATTTAAATTTATTTTATTTTTTTTCGATAAAAATACATGAAAAAAAATATTTACCCAAAACAGCGATATGTTTCACTAAAACAGTAAAAGTTTTCTCTATTCTAGAGAAACATATATCGTTGTTTTAGATAAAGATTTTTTTTTCGTGTATAAATATTGATGCTTTTATTATTAAATTATTGTTTAAATTGTCTTTTAAAGAAAAAAAAAAAAGTAAAAGGAAAGATTTAAATAGTAAAAATCAAATTTAAATCGAAAAAAAATTATCTGCTTTGAAGATTTGAACGCTCTGATGAACGAAATGATTTTTTCGTTCTATAAATTAATTGAAAAATTACTACAGCAATGAAAGAATATAAAAATCTAGATTAATTTATGTTTCGATACAGATAGCTGTATTTTTTTTTTATTTGTACCAAAGAATAAATTTTATAAAAATATTTGAAGTCGAAAAAATTAACCAAATTGTTCAAAACTTCAGGCAGTTAAAAAATTGTATTTAAGGGGTCTTTCTGGTTTAGAATTCCAAAAAAAATTCGACTTTTTTTGCTTGAAAATGTTCCTTAGTATCATAAAATTACTGTCCCAAAAGGTTTTTTTTTTTTTGAAAAATATGTAAAAAAAAAAGAAAAGTTGTAATCAAAAATTGCTTTGATAGTCCTCAATGTATGAGGATGTATGTTTTATGAAAACTTTAAACGCTTTTTTCTCGAAAACACATTTTTCAAACTGGTGCACGGCTTTTCTCGAAATCTACTGAACCGATTTTAAAAAACCAAAAACCATTCGATTCCTTAGTTAAATAACACAGGCCTACAAAATTTTGGATTTTGTCAGACCCAGTAACTGAAATAGTCGTTTTCGATGTAATTTGTCACGCTGAATCCAAAAATGACAAGGAAATTACTCTATCACGTCAGCATTTTGAGATATTCTAACCTAAAAGCGTGAAAAATGAAGTTTTTGGTAATATTTGACACTCTATAAAATCGACAAAAAATTTTTTTAATCATTGGTCCAAATTTCAAAAGAAAGTATTATATTTCTCGTTTCAAAATTTTCTAGGTTCGATCTGATCCAATTTTTTTTCTCTGAGATACAACCATTTAAGTTTTACATTACATGAACTAAAATCCCTTTCAAAAAGAAAAATAAATTGCAAAGTACTCATATCACTGAAACTTATTTCTCGGGTATTTTTGAGGTCGCTAATTACGAATCTGACGTCAGATTTTTGAAATATAATACTTTCTTTTGAAATTTGGACGAATGATTAAACAAAATTTTTGTCGATTTTATAGAGTATCAAATATTGCCAAAAACGGCATTTTTTACACTTTTAGGTTAGAATATCTCAAAATGCTGACGTGATAGAGCAATTTGCTTGTCATTTTTGGATTTAGCGTGATAAATTACATCGGAAATGACTATTCCGGTTTCTGGGTCTAAAATTTGTAGGCCTGTGATAATTAGAGAATAAACCTTTGAAACTTCATATTAACTAAATACATTTCAAATTTTTTTTTTAATTTTCTCTATGTAATGTGCAACAATGTCCAAAAAGAATTTTTGCAATTTATTTAATACTTACAACAAAAGTTTTAAAACTTGTTTTTTTTTGGCAATTCTAAAATCCCCTTTAAAAAAAAGTTATCATTGAAAAATAATAACTATTATTCTTTTCAGCAAAATTTTTGCAGATTCCAAATAAACGAGTACGAGTGACAGATTTTGTTTGTCCAAAAAAAAAGAAAGCAAACAAAAGAGACTCTTTCGTTACTCAAAGACGAGAATCGCTCAACGCTTGAACCGGTGAGTTTCCAAACAAAATATTGTTTCGAAGTACAGCGGACAATCTCAAAGCGAATTATGTCTGTACAAAGTGTTGCTCTGGCATCTCTCACGGCCACGTATACCGACTCGGAAGGAGAGGATGGGGTGGAAGATGACCTCCACGAGATGTCAAATACACCCCGTGGGGCTGCTCCTCACAATTCCCAAATCGTTCAACCCCATTTATTGGTACAACAACCTACAATCATCACATCTCCCATAATTGGTAGCACAACATCTCCCGTTGTCAATTCCAACATCATTGGAAATAAACGACAACCACCCATCAATTTAATGTACAATGCACCCACTTTAGTAACAACAGTGACCTCAAGTGTTCATAGTTTGGTATCTTATCATGATGACACTGTTGTCTCTGATGATGAGGGTGGCGGAGGTGGCGTTACATTTATTACAACGACAATGATTGGTCAACCAATGGAAAATGGTCGTCTAATCAATGTCGGTGCTAATGAACAACAACAGCAAGAGCCTTCGCCCACCTCGGGTCAAGACGAATTGATTTCAGATGGCGAAATGGATACATTTGGCGTTGTCATACCACCAGAGCCAATTGGAATATGTCCACTTGATTTACAGGATAAAATAACGGCATTATTTAAAAAAATGGAAACAGGCGGTCTCGATATGAACAAAGTAATACAACAGCGTAAGGACTTTCGTAATCCATCAATTTACGAGAAATTAATACAATATTGTAAAATTGACGAACTTGGTTCAAATTATCCACCTGAACGTTTTGATCCTTGTAAATGGGGTAAGGATTCATATTATGAGGAATTGGCGAATGTTCAAATGATTGAAATGGAGAAATTGAAGGCAAAACGAAAGGAAAAAGGAACGAAGATGGAGATTATTTCGGGTTTAGCTAAACGGCCAAGTTCATCGATTACAACTGCCGATGAGGATGCAAAAAAACGAAAAAGTAAATGGGATCAGGTGGCAACTGGTGCAACAGCGGCGAGCGCCGCTTCAACAACAGTGTCAAAGGCAACGCTACCAATACCATTGACGACATTCACAACATTAACGCCCTCTGTAACGGGTACAAAAGCCACTGTTATCTCCGCCTTTGGATCATTACCAAAGAAAAGACTGTAATGTAATTTCCTGTTCTTTTTTTTTCTTTCTCTTTTGTAAATAGGACACTTTTTTTTGTGCATTTTCTAGGGGGAAAAAAATGGTCAATTGTCTGGATGCATCATCGCAGAAATCAAATTAACGAAAAGGTATTTAGTTTTTTGTTTATTTTTTGTTATCTTTCCTGAGATAAAGAATTTAAAACTAGCGTTCTCCAAAAAATATTCGACGCTTTTACTTTTCACCAAAAAAGTAGTGGCGAATTATTTGCAATGCTTTTAATTTACATTAGATTTTTTTTTATTATTACTATTGTAAAAATAATGTAGAGTCAGTTGGGGTAAATCGTAACAGTAGTTATTTCAGTTAAATAAAAAATTTTAAAAATAAATACGGCCTTATACCTTAGATCACCCCCCAACAAGGTTTAAGGCCGTATTTATTTTTAAAATTTTTTATTTAACTGAAATAACTACTGTTTCGATTTACCCCAACTGACTCTAGTGGAAAAAAAAACTTTTATTAAAGTTGCAAATACTGTTAAGGGTACTTAGCCTCGTAACATAACCTCGAAAATTATTTTTCACAGAACTAAAATTATAATTGTAACGCGCTCTAAAAAAAGGGACCTTAGAAGCAAACTAATTATAGGTTATGTTTTCGGTAATTTTACCTTCATCAAAACATAACCTATATTTTTTTTGCATCTAAGGTCCCTTTTTTCACAGAGTGTCACATTTCAAATATTGAAAGATTTGTACAATTTTCAAAAAAAAAAAAATATTTATTTTGTATTTTTTATTCAATTTTTTCAAAATCTCATTTTTTCTCTGAAATATTTTCTACAATTTTGATTTGACAAAATTTTAGAAAATCTCTCCAAAGAGGAAAATGATCTGTTATTTATATAAAAAAAATTTGGATAAAAATTAACAAATATTTACCATGAAACAAAAAATATATAAAATAATTATTAAACAAATATTTGGGCAAAAATAATTTATTTGAAAAATTATACAACTGAATTTTTCCTTAATTATGATAAAATTAATTTTATTTCTAGTTTTATTGGTTAAAAATAATTTTTATTTTGAGGTTATGTTAATGGGCTAACCCTTAAGGTGGATGGAGGTTCTAACATAACCTCAAAACTGAAAAATAGTTTTCTATTCTACACGGAAGAAGATATTTCTATAGTATTCTTCAAAAACTTAAATTTTTTTTTGCAAATTTTCCTAGTTTAAATATTGTAAATTCCCCCCAAAAAAAGAGTAATTTTTGTTTAAAAAAATTTTTACAATTGTAACTGTATCAACTGACACATCCTTTAAATTGACATAATTCTTCCCTAAGACTGTAATTTTTTTAATATTTCATAACCTCTAAATACTCATCTAAAGAAAAATTGCAAATTAAAATAAAACGTGTTTTAGAAAGAGAAATAAATTAAAAATTCATATTAATATTATTATAAATTAATTTAATAAAAAAAAATTTAAGAAACCCAAATTAATGGATCATAAATTAAAAAAATTATTATTAATTAGAAATTATTTTAAAAAATTATTAATTAGAAATTTTAAAATTAAATTAAATTAAAAATTTAAAATTTTTTAATTATTAATTTATAATAAATTATAAATATTAAAAAATACTTTTATAAAATTTAATATTTATTTTCTTTCCGTGATAGAGTAATAAATAAAAAATATTCGATATTTTGAGGTTATGTCAATTGATAATTAAGATATTTAAAAATAATCTAACACCTTTTCGCTAATTTGATTTTCGATAAAAAAAAATGATATACGCTCAAAACAGAAATTTGAATTTAATATTTTTATTTCAATTCGAATAATCTGTATAAATTAAAATAATAGAATTTTCAAAACTAGAGAGCAGTGCCTCTAGCATTTATCACCAATAAATTAATATTAAATATTATTATTATAATTATAATATCAATGTAAAAATATTAAATAATTATTGTATTTTAAAAAAAAATCTATTAAAACAATTTTTTTTTCTATTGGGCGAAACTTTCAGACAATTGACCAATTGACACGCATAATAAAAAAAAAATAAATTTTTTTTTTTTTTGAGAAATTAACGTGTTAACTCGATGTTATCGAAGTTTCAATTTAGATACATATTGCGAATGAATTTTCTAATAGAAATATAATTTTTTGTTCAACCTTTTGTAAACTCGAAGTTCTGAGATTTGAGAGCACTGTAAGTGTTTTTGAAAAAAAAAAAAAAAAAAAGAATTTTTGAGCATTTTCTCTCAGTGATAAAGAGAGAAAGAAAAATAATTTTTATTCTAAAAGTGTTGAATAAAAAAAAAAAAAAAATATGTTCATTAGAAATCGCGCTAATTGCAATTTAGTCAAATTTACAAATTGGTATTTATGCGGACTCATGTATAGTATAGATATTAGTTTCAATTATTATACATAATTCAAAAAAAAAAAAAAAATGAATGGAAAAAAAAATTTAACTGTAAAAAAAAGCGTTCAGTCCACTAAACTGTTCACGAGTCGATTGTTCAAATAACTTTTACCTCATAGGCTGGCGTTTTAGAATATTTATTTACCAGAATAAATCTCACGATGGACGAGATAAAAAAAAAAAAATATTAATTTTCACTAATCGAATGTCGGTTCTTTTGTTTGTAATTTTTTTTTCAGGTATTTCGATATTTCTCTTCAATTTGTCTAAAAATTAAAAAAAAAATACTCTTAAAAATTCAAAATGAATTTTTTCGTAAATTTCTCTTTAAAAAAAAAAAACGAAATTTCTTTTGATTCTTCGAACGATTTTCGATTTTTATTTTTCTTTTTTTTCTTTGTAATTATTGAAAGGAAAAAGAAAAGAAATAGTTTGAAAAATTGTAGTTTGTATGAGAAAAAAAAGCAGAGTTTTCCGACATTTTAATTATTTAAATGTGAATGTTACATTTTTTGAGAAAAAAAAATCTCGGTTTTTTTTTTTTTTTTTGCTACGATCTGCCGTTGAGATAGTTAAAAATAAAAAAAGATATTCAATTTAGTTTATCAAATTACGTATAATTTAGCGAAATGCTATTTTTTATATTTTAATTTTAACTGTAGAAAATGAAAAGTGTATAAAAGGGAGTCTAAACTTTTATAAAAAAAAAACAACAAACAAAAAAAAAAAAAAAAAAAAAAAAAACAACTACACAAAAAATACACTGAAAAATTTTTCTTCTTTTTTTCAAAAATCTTGATAAAAGGAAATCCTGTACATATTATAAATAACAAAATATTTTTCAAAAAAAATTTTAAGTGACTTTTTCAAATTATTTTAATAGACCTTTTTACATATTTTATTTTAAATTATATTTTTAGATTAAAAAAATTAATATTCAAATTTGATATTTTTATTATTTTTTTAAAATACATTTTTACTTTTTAATTTCAGTTTATTTAATAAATTTAACAGGATTATAAACTAATAATAATAATAATATAGTAATTATAATTTTGAATATTTAATATTTTTAAAATATAAAAAATATTCTCTATTTCAATTTCAAAATTGACTATTCAAATTTCCCGCCCTTTCGGTCACGTGTGGGTTAGAAATAAAAATAATTTTTTATTTTATGAAATTATTTTCAGATTTTTTCAAAAATGAAATTAACGAATAGTAAAATTTTTATTTACTTTTCTATTTATTAACTTTACTAAAAAATTTTTTTATTTCATAATTTTTAGGTTAGAAATTGAAAATAAAATTTTTTTATTTTTTCCTTTTGTTAAATTAATTAAATCGCTTTTAAAGATGCGTAATAATAAATTCAGATGTATTTTTTTTATCTGTTTTGGAGTATCAACTTTCTAACCTATAAACTGACAATAAAAAAAAAAAAAGAATAGAAATGGCGTGAGTCATTTGACAGATAGTTGGGGGACTATACATATTACACGAGTGTGTTCACATTGTTGTTTGTTTTTTTTATTTTATTTTTAATTAAATTTACAAAGTCACGAAAATGTCAAATCGTGATCCTGACAATTTAATGGTTACAAATGACGATAATTTTGATTTTTTATTTAAAATTGTTTTAATTGGCGATTGTGGTACGGGAAAAACTTGTGTCGTACAAAGATTTCGATCTGGGAATTTTATTGAAAAACACGGTAGCACAATAGGAGTTGATTTTTCAATTAAAACCGTTATAATCGACGGTAAAAAAGTTAAGGTAAGTTTTTATATTTTGTTTTTTTAGGTTATTTTTATTTATTGTAATAAATCCAAGAGTGATTTAGACCAATTACAGAATTATCAAATATCAATTAATATTAAAATGCACAAAGTAGCGATTAATAATTACAAATCGAATTTTCCTTAATAAAACTAAGAACTGCAGTTAAGAATGATTGAAGTTATTGAGGTTATGTTTACTCTCGTAATTGTTATTCCATTGTTTTTTTATATTTGTATTGTTAGAATTGCAAATATTAAAATTACGGTTTTTTTTAAATTAATGATATTAAATGTATTTTTGTGTAATTTTTTTTTTATTATTATGAATTATTTCGCAATTGAGAATATTTTGTAATTGAAGTAAAGTCATGTTGTAATGACATCGGAAGGTTATTTTTTCTGAGTCATGTTGGAGTGAATAATTTACTGATATGTGGGAATTTGCGTTTTATTTAATTACATATAAGAATTCGAATTATATATTATTCTGAAATAAGAAACATAAAAATAGAAAATAAAAATAATAAATTATTAAATAATAATAATAATAATTAATTGTTATTAAATTAAATAAATATTTTAATTTAGTCTTTGCTTTGGATTATTAAATAAATTTTGAAATGTAAATGTTTAAAAAATTTTAAATTTAATATAATTAACGATTTTCATTTAAAAAAATAAAAGAAAATTATTTTTTTTACATTTAGTTACAAATTTGGGACACTGCGGGACAAGAAAGATTTCGAACAATTACTCAAAGTTATTATAGATCTGCTAATGGGGTTATCGTAGGTAAATATTCTTAATTATTGATTTTATTTTATTATTACAGTACAGATAATAAAATACAATATAATTTTTGTAATTATTTCAATTTTCAGTATATGATATTACAAAACGTTCTAGTTTTTTAAGTCTTCAACGATGGATAGAAGAAGTTCGTAAATACTCTTCGTCTCATGTTTTATTAATTTTAGTTGGTGAGGAATTTTCGAAAAATTGTCTAATAATAAAAATAAAAATAATAATAATAGTAAAAATGTAATTAAAAAAAAAAAATTAATAATTTTTTCACTCAGGTAACAAAACCGATTTGGAAGAATCAAGAGAAGTGCAAAAATCAGAAGCGGAAGCAGTTTGCGAATATCTTCCTGAGGTTTTAAATGTTCTTGAAACTTCAGCGAAAGATAATACGAACATTGATTCAATATTTTACTGCCTGGCATCTGAATTAAAGGTGAAAAAAAATAATAATAATATAAGAAAATTATTTTTTTATTAAATAATAAAAAAAAAATATTCACCTGGAACAGCGATAAGTTTCTCTTGAATAACGAAAACATTCCCTGTTTTAGTGAAACATATCGCTCTTCTAGGTTGAAGATTTTTTTTTTGCATGTAAATTTAATTATAATTCAGAAATTTAATTTTTGAGTTTTCGAGGAAATAAAGGAAATATTTAATTAAATTCGAAATTTTTTTAAATAATTTAATAATTATTAATTTATTTTTAAAAAAAATTGTAATAAGTAAATAATTAGTAAAAGAAAAAAATAAGAATTATAAAAAAAATTTCAATTACGTTAAATTTTATTTGTTGATAAATATTTAATTTTACAGAGACGTTATGAGAATCGTCAGATTACACAAACCGAAAACGACGTCATTAAACTTGGAAGTGGCCGTGAACTTTCAACATGTTCGAGTTGTTCGCATAAAATACTTTAATTTACTTTTTGCCAAAAAAAAAGAAAACAAATAACTTAACAAAAGCACGAAAATTTTTTTGAAACTAAATCGATTTTTTAACGAAAGTAAATTTTTTAAATTAATTATTTTTTAAATATAAAAGTACCTGAATTTCAAGAAATGAAATTTCAAGCAACAATTCTACTAACATATATATTATAAGGAATTATTTATTATTATTCTTTTTTTGCAAGAAAGTCTGAAAATCTTAATTTTATTTTTTTATTTATTTAACGCAACAACTAACTTTTATTTTTCAACAAAGAAATGACTTTATTATTTAATTAATTAAAATGATTTTTTTCCAGTGTCTTTTACTTTATTTAAATGATAGAAGTCATTTTGCATAATATTTATGTGTAACGAATTTATTTTGAGTGCCCTTAATCGAAAGTGCCTTCGATTTAATTATTAAAAATATTATTATTCCTGATGAGAATTACTAATTTTTTTTTTTTTATAGAAACTTTGTTATTCGATAGAAAATAATTGTATTTTTTTTTCGAAAAATTGAATTGAAATTTTTCGTTGACCTTTTTTTTTATTATTATTATTGATTAAAATAGTATTTAAATTGTAAAATAACTTTGCAGAATTTAAAACATTTTAAAATGAGATAAATGGGAAAAATTTGCATTTATTTGAAATGTAAATTAAGAACTTTAGTTTTGACATTGAATTTTTAAATAATTAAAGGGTAATTTTTCTACTAACGTTGAAATTAGAATTTATTTATATTTTTTTTAGGTAATTTATTGAATTATTTAATTTGTAATTTTTGAATGTTTTTTGAATTTGAAATTTTATATTTTTATTGAAATTAAATGAAAAATTTGTTAGCGATTAAAATTTTTTTTTTGGTTAGCAATAGTAATATAAATAATAATATTAATATTAATATTTATATAAAAAAACTAATTGTATTACAGTAAACTATTTAAATCGAAATATTACTGTTATTTAAATTAAACTTAATTGTTATTTAAATTAAAGTATTTAATATTTGCAAAAAAATGGTTAAAAACTAAAGCTCGAATTTATAAAATTACTAAAACGTATACGAATTTATATTTTTATTCTCATTTTTATTTATAAATGAATCTCATGGGAAAGATCTTTTTTTTTTGAAAAAAAAAATATATATTTTTTTAAATTATTAAAATTTTGATCGCGTTATTCATGTGGATCTGTACAAAGATATTACATAATGAAATTATAATTATTGTAAATATATATTAGTGAGCGTGATAATTTCCAACATTGTCAATTTGAAATTTGGAAATTACAAATTTATGCCTCGTGCATCATTTTCATATTGACGATGATGACGAAAATGTACTTCAATAAATTGGTATATTTTTAAAAAATTATTGCTTTCCAAAAAATTGTTTTTTAAAAAAAAACCCTTCTTTTTTGATTATCGAGATGTTTAGTAGTACCATTTTTCGCCACTATGTCTAAAAATTACTCTCTGCGATTGGTGGAAATTGGACAAAAAAATGGAGCAGATTAGCAGAATAGATTTTAACCAATCAAAATGGAGTCTCTTACGGCATAAATATTAACTTGCTGCATGAGACTAAATTTTGATTGGTTAAAATTTATTCTGCTGATCTGATCCATACAGAGAGCCCTTATATGTGATATTATTTTATTATTGTAATTAATTAATTAATTACTACTTAATAATTTAATAATGAATTAATAATTAGTTATTTAAATTTATTAATTTCAAACAACAAATCGCAGTAGTTGGCTCTACGATGCGCGCGCATTTCTCTGCCAAATGTCGCAATTTATTATGTAATATTATTTTATTTCAATTATTAATTAATTATCTATTAATTACTAATTAATAATTTTATAATTATTTATTTAGTTAATAATTCGTTAAATATTTAGTTAATAATTAGCAATTGAATTTATTAATTTAAAACAATAAAATGCGGCAGTTGGCAATATGCGCGCGCATTCAAGGACAAGCAAACGTGAAGCATGAGTTAGAAAAGGACAGTGATAAATATTTGTCTCCTTTTCTATTTTATAACGAATCTGATTGGTCGGTTCAAATTGTAAACTAGTTTCTCTACCGGAAGTAACCAACCAAGTTTCACATAATTTTTGCACGCCATATTGTATATCGTTTTCTTAAGACCACGTGTTTATTTTTATAATTCTCAAATCAAAATTTTAAAATCTATTATTGTTTAAATTAAATAAAAATTCCGGGAGTGTTCGAAGTACTTAAAACCGCGTTCGTTTTGTAATTTATTTTTGTTCTCCTCACATGGTCAAGGAGTGTTCGAAAAATTTTTAAACCGCGAGTGTTATTTTTCAAACTTGGAAATTCTTTTTGAAGAAGCCTATTGGAATACAAGAGGTAAGAATTTTAATTATAAATATAAAAAACATATTTTTATTTATAAAATTAATTAATACAATGACAATATCTTTTTTGGCCATAGTCGAGGCACTTTGAACTATCTCTATAAGAATCAATTCTACTTATTTCTCTATCATTAATGCTAAAATCCACATCGTTATAATTTATTGTCGCTTCAAATTTTGCATTACCTGGTGTTAATTCAATCATATAATAATATTCCTTAGTTGAATTAATATTTAAATTTAAAATTTGATGAAATTTATGAATTTTTTTTAAATTTAATTTTGAACATAAACGAATATTTGTTTTTGTTTTATAATTTTTGACAATATTTTCAATATGATTGACTATTTTTTGAGCACCTTTAAGTACAATTTTACCAGATGCTTCATTTTTCATTTCAAATACTGAACAAACACACCAATGTGATGGTATACCAGCGTCCTGACATCCACGTTCTATAGAAACTTTTTTAAAAAGTGATGTACATTTAGGACAATTTGAATTTGATTTTGCTGAACCATTATTTCTCATTAGAATATCGCGTAATGTTTCATAAATATCAAATGGTGATGTTAAACGATTTTGATTTATTTTTAATGCCTCGTGCACTTTTGGATTGGCGTCACGAAACCATTTTGGCAACCAAATATAAAGAAATGGCAATCTTTCCTCATACCAACCCATAAATGTTTTTCTAAATTCTCCCATTCTCATTCCATGATCACTTAAAAATATAATCATTGTTTCATTCATTACGCCATTTTCTTCGAGTTGTTTTAATTTTGAATGTATATAAAAATCCATTATCGATAGGCCATTTATTGAATCGTGAGTTACAGAATTTGCCCAAAAAAAGCCAAAATATGGAAAACCACTTAAACGAATTGCAAAATCAACAGCTGAATTTATAATTCTCTCCTCTGATAATTCAGGACCTGTACAATAATTACATTCAAATCTTTTATGAATTTTTAATAATTTCTCCGTTGCTATTATGTATGGTCGTAGATAATAGTCCGTTGGTGGTTCGACAAAACCAACCTGAAAAAAACAAGAATTAAAAAAGTTTAGCCAGGGAAAAAATTTTAATTTTGACTGGAAATTAGAAATATTTTTATATCAATCCTGATTTAGAAAAAAATATATGCTATTGAATCAACAGAATTTCTGCTAAAGGCATAAAAATTAATTGATTTTGAAGCATATATGCTATTGAATTTATATAATATTTTACAAATTCTATATAGCATATGCGCTTCAAAATCAAATAATTTTTATGCCTTTAGTAGAAATGCTTTTGATTTAATAGCATATATTTTTCTCGAGTGTACACCAACCTTTAATAAATTGAAAGTACTCATTGGAGCTTCATCTTCAGCATAGGCTGTAACGTAACCAGCATTTCGAAAATTATACCAAATTAATGGACAATTATCAAGTCCAAATGGTACATTAGGAGTACATTTTGAATGAGATTCTTCTTGTCCCTGTCCAGTTAAAATTGCCATTAAATTTGGAAATGTATTTTCACCCATTTTATTGTAACCCTTCATTATTAGCCATTCATTTTTATTTAGATAGTCAACTGTTTTTGGTAGATTCCTTTGGAAATTTAATCTTGATACATTGTCTAAACCTAATATTAAGACACTTAATTTTTTCTTCTTATTATCATTAATTGAATGATTAAAACGATTTGAAATTTTTTCAACATTTATTATTGAGTGCACATTTTTATAAATTGTAGATCGTTTTTTTAATTTCTGATTAGCATTTACTTCATTGCATGTAACCATTAGGGTTTCTATTTCTTTTGTTAAAATGACTGAATTATTGAATTCAATGCATTTTTCTACTCTGTAAATAGAAAATAATTTGTGACTCATTAAATTATAATTAAATCTCTAATTTATTTTTATATTTTTTAGCTATATGCCGAATTTTTGTTTAGCAGAATTTTTATTTATCCGAAAATCAAAGATTTTGGGTCAATTTTTAAAATTTGTCTAATTAAATTAAAAAATTTTAACTAGCTATTAAGGAATTATTTTACTCACGTAATGGATGAATCAAAATTTTCCTCTGGTATTGGTTTTTTAGGAATTGGTCTAATAATTGGTGACCAGCAGCAAAAAATTTTTTTATTCAAATATTTCAATTCATTTTTATTTAATATTAATAAATTTTGTCCATTTTCATTTTGAACTATTGACGATAACAATGGTAATTTTGTACAATTTTCATAATTCTCTTTTTTTACAAATTTCATAATTGACGGATCAAAGGGAATTTTCGAAAGCATATGACATTTTGAATTCCAAATTAAATATCCATCGTCAATAACTGAAATCAAATATTTATTGATAATACTATTTTTTTGGAAATTAATTTAAAAAATGAATAATAATTTCGTTTTTCTTACCAGAGTCGTCGTAGATTTGATAATTATTAACTGATATTATTTTGTATAAATATAATGATAATAACAAAATGCAAGGTATAAGTAAAAAAAGTAATTTAGATCGTCGAAAATTGTAAAATTTGAGTGCTGTCAATGTTATCATTTTGTGTAGTAAATTTTTAAAAGACTCTTGTTCTATCTACTAATATATATATATATATATATATATATATATATATATCATATTATCTTATCGAAATATTTTCGTCATCTATCCAGTTACAAAATTTTTTTATCTCTTTTTCTTCTTTCTATTGAATGGGTTTAAAAAAAATTGTTCGAATAACGCAATTCTCATCTTTTCCGTAAATTTTTCTCCACAATTCTACACTTGATTAGGAGGGAAAGAATTCAGTGAATTATGATTCATTTTTTTTTTTTTTTTTTTTTTTTAAGAAAACAGTAAAATAAAATTTCACAAATTTTAAATTTTACTCTCTCAGTGGTGTCAACTAAAATTTTATATAAAAAAAAAAAAAATTAACGGTGTCAAAAAGGTATAAAAACAAATAACAAATATACACTTTTGCTCAATACAAATTTTTTCACACTAAAAACAATTACAGAAATTACTAAAAGTTTTATATTTTCCTCTTTATAGTAAAGATGAAAAGGAAATAAAAAAAAAAAAAATTATAATATATTACAATTTATATCTTGTGCTTAAACCTACAATTATCTAAAAAAAGAGAAAAGAAAAATTTCTTAGTTTTATTACTTGAGGAAAAAAAACGAGACTTATATAAATAAACGCTAATGATAATTATTTAGAATCATATTTTTTTAATAGAATTTTTAATCTGTTGAATATTATTTTTACAGAAAAAAAAATTGTACAGAATATTGACGTTTTATAATTATTATTGAAAAACTTTATTAAAATTATTAAAAATAATTAAAAATTTTTAATGAAAATTAAAAAAAAAATGCATTTGCAGTTCAAAGTAGAATGAATTAAATTTCGACAATTTTCAACAAATCATATTTATTAAACATTTTAAATATTACATAATTTTTTTTTAACATAATTAATCTTAAGAAAACCATCACCAAAAAAACATGTAAAATATTTTTTTTTTGTACACTTCTATTAAAAACTTATAAATATTTTCAAGAAACCTTAAAAAAAAAAACTTTCTATTTTATCAGCAGATCGAGGTATTTTGATTGAGAAAAAAAAATAAGAATACTTGAATGGAATTGCGATAAAATCATTTAAATAGAAAGAAATTAACAACATTATTTACACTACATTTGGTCTTTGATTTTTTTTTCTCTGTTTATAAAAAAGTAGATATATATTTATATAAATATTGATTAGAAATATAAATGCCAGCTAAAAAGCTTATATTTAAAATTTTCATTTTCAGAAAGGCACCTTTTCGCATAATTATAAAAATTTTGGGGGACAAGAGAAATGGAAGTCTTGTTTTTTCTAAAAAAAAAAAAAATTTCAGTAACTTGAAAAAACATGAAAATTTAATTTGCTTTTTAATGTCAATAGTTTGAGAAAATAAGATTTTAATAAAAAAAAAAAATAATTTAACTAAAGGTTAATTTCGTTAATTAATTTTAGAAAATAAAAATTTAACAATCTTAAACTATTACGCCGCTTGCACCGTGTGGATTAAATTTGCGTCTGCGCAGAACATTCGTCAATATTCGTAAATCTTCGTACGAATGTTCTGCGCAGACGCAAATTTAGCCAATTCCTTTAATAAGTTAAAATTTAATCCACACGGTGATAACAGCGTCTATATTGCATAATTTTATCATTTTTGAATTAAAAAATTTTCTTTTATAGTTTTCTCAAGTCGAAGATTTTTAGTATTTTGATATTTAAAAAAAAAAGCCGAAATGTGAATCGAATATTGATTCGGCACTTTCGGTGCGTAGCTAAGCGATAAATAATTTTAAATTACAAATTTTTCATTATTCTTCCACCAAGAAAAAAATTACTAACTCCGTAAAAGTTAAATAATATTCTTAAAATCTCGTTGTATTTGCCAATTTTTTTTTCTAAAAAGTAAAAGATTTTGAATGAAACTTTTTCAATTGTTTAAAGTAATAACTGTTTGAAAATTCGAATTTTTTCGAATAAGGCCGTTTTCACATCGTGTGGATGAATTTAACCTCTCGGAGGATTAAATTTATCCAACGAAAATCGGTTTGTGAGAGAAAAAAACGAGAAATTATTTATCATTTAGGAGAAATTTTAACTATTTTTTTACTCAATTTTTTTTTATTTTTTTTTTTGTAAAATTCTATTTTTCCACAGGAACTCTTTTATATGTTCTCCTATGGCATTCATCAACTTTAACGAGATAATAAGTTCCCGGGAACATGTGCTCGATACTTTCTTGTGGTTCATACGGCACAACGTGACAATTTTTCTCCCTAACATCAAGAATTCTCGTATAATTCTCAGGCGTTAAACATTTTCTTGCCAATAATTGTTCCTTTACATATTTAAGATTATCAATTATTCGCGCTAATTGTGAATCTTGAGCAATATCATTGGAAATTTTCATTGAATACATACTTGACGCTAAACCAGAACCATAGGAAAATATTCCAATTTTATTACCAGCCAATGCTTCAATTGGTTTACTAATTAATAAAGAAACAAGTCCCGAATAAACCGATGGCGTATACATATTACCAACTAAATTAGCCACATATAAACTTGGTTTTGTCTTTTTTTCAAAATCCGTTTTACTCACGTCGAGAAATGCTTTTTCAACATCACGATCAAAATATGTTGTTTCTAATTTGGAATTTTGAAATTTTTGTAAATCAGGAAAACGTTTTATTGCTTCTTCTTTGGTTAGATTGAGATAATCAACAAAGGCAAGACGGGCATATGATTTTTGAACTAATTTTCCATAGGGCGAATGAAAGAGCATTGCATCGAAACTCTTTAATGTGATATTGTCATTATTTTTGTTTTTTGCTTTTGTCGCGTAACGCTCGTAACACGTGTCTAAAGCACTGAGGTAGCATTGAATTGAGAGTTTACCATCGACAACGGGATATTCAGAGCGAAGATCAGGTTTATAGAAATCGTAAGCGTGTCGCATGCACGATGCACGAAGACCTCTTTCAAAAACAAGAGGCGCATTTGGTCCAATTGCCATTGCAATTGCTCCAGCACCTCCCGTTGGTCTTGCACTTCCTGCAAAAATTAGAATTTTATTTTTTTATTAACAGGCCTTGAATCGATTTTAATAAATTTAGAATTTAGGAGAATTTAGGAACAAAATTTTTAAGGGTTCCGCAACATAAAAATCACTATTTATAATGAAGAGGTTCTTTTAACACCGTAGAAACAATTTAGTCTAATGGATTTTTTTTCTTTAGTAAAAATCGTAGTAAACATTAAAACAAAAAAATTGTGTTAATAAAACAAAAAAATTACCTTTTGAATAAACGGCATTATCGGCAGCAACAACAATTGCAAGTCGACCATCCCAAGCGCTGCTTTCAACCCATGAAATTGCATTAAACAATGCAGCAGTACCACCGTAACATGCATTAGTTGAATCAATTCCTTCAATATCAGTTGCACCCGATGGCTCAAATAATTGCATGAGTACAGTTTTTACCGATTTACTTTTATCAAGAATTGTCTCTGTACCAACTTCAAGACGACCCACGTCTTTGGGATTTATTTGATATCTATCCATTAAACGGCTCAATACTGTTAGACAAAGGGAATTTATATCCTCTCTGTCGGTACAAAAACCCATTTTCGATTGTCCCAAACCAATTGTGTATTTACCAGGTGAGACACCATCGAATTCTTCCAAATCCTCTTGCGCAACATATTGCGCCGGAAAATATAATTCCATTGCCTTAATACCAACATCCTTGGGCCACATGATGAGAAATTAAAATTTTAAATATATCCTGAAAAAAAAAACAAAATACTTTTTTTATTATAATAAATATATACCAAAAATTTCTTTTTAATTTCTAATTTTGCGTTTAAATTTCGGCGTTTTAAGATTATATTAAAGTGGTGATACCTTTTTTACATAGCACATTTTGTGTAACAAAAACTAATGGTGAAACAGTTTTTTTTTAAAAAATGAAAATATAAAAAAATTACCGACATAGAAATCTACCTTGCCGACTGATGGTAAAACAGCTTTTGGGGAAATGACAATATAAAAATTACCGACATCTACCTTACCGACAGATGGTAAAGAAGTTTTTCGAAAAATGAAAATACAAAAAATTACCGACATAGAAATCTACCATATCGAACAATGGTAAATACATTTGTTGCAAAATTAAAATATAAAAAAATTACCGACGCAGAAATGTATCTTACCGACTGATGGTAAAGAAATTTGTTAAAAGATCAAAGTATAAAAATTACCGACATAGAAATCTACCTTGCCGACTGATAGTAAAACAGGTTTTTAGGAGAAGGACAATGTAAAAAATTACCGACATGTAAATCTACCTTACTGGCAGATAGTCAAAGGTTTTTCGAAAAATGAAAATATAAAAATTACCGACATAGAAATCTACCTTGCTGACTGATGGTAAAACAGTTTTTGGGGAAATGACAATATAAAAATTACCGATATAGAAATCTACCTTACCGACAGATAGTAAAATTTTTTTTTTGAAAAATGAAAATATAAAAAATTACCGACATAGAAATCTACCTTACCAAAAGATGGCAAATACATTTCTTGAAAAATTAAAATATAAAAAAATTAGCGACACAGAAATCTACCTTAGCGACAGATGGTAAAGAAATTTGTTAAAAGATCAAAGTATAAAAATTACCGACATAGAAATCTACCTTGCCGACTGATGGTAAAACAGATTTTTTAGGAGAATGACAATATAAAAAATTACCGACATGTAAATCTACCTTACCGGCAGATAGTCAAAGGTTTTTCGAAAAATGAAAATATAAAAATTACCGACATAGAAATGTACCTTACCGACTGATGTTAAAGAATTTTGTTGAAAAACTAAAATATAAAAATTACCGACACAGAAATCTACCTTACCGATTGATGGTAAAGAAATGTTTTTAAAAATTTTTACCGACTTTTACATACCATCAAATAAAAATTCGGTCAAATGATGATTCGGACAAATGAAAATTCGGTGAATTTGAAATTCTGTTATTTAAAAATTCGAATCACTTATAATTATTGTATATGTTATTATTATTAGTATTAGTACTATTATTAGTATTATTATTACTATTATTATTATTATTATTATTATTATTATTATTATTATTATTATTATTATTAAAAACCTTGCTATTAAATAATTAATTAATTTCTAAAATAAAATTAAGTTTTCATCATTATTATTTTTTGTTTTGTTTCAATAAAAAGAAAATATTCACTTTATATTATTAACAACTGTAAATTATCAAAAATAATTTTAATACGAAAAAAAATATTCGTGAAGAGCCAATGAAAGTAAAAGAAAAATTTAATTCACATAAGAGGTGAAATTTTGACGAGTGATACTTTCACTCCATAAAAAAAATTATTGAAACCTCTTCATGTGTCTTTAATTATGATCTAACTTATGACACTTCTTCTATAACATAATATTTCGTCAACAATTAATTCAAAATAATTTCTAACATAATAAAAAAAAATTTCTTTATCTTGAAACGTAGTATTTAAATAAAATTTTTTCTTTCAATTTTTAATTAAAAAAAATTATGGTTTAAATTTTTTTTTACTTTAAACAGATTTCTAAATTGTTTGTTATAATTTTTATTATAAGTTAATTAATTTTTTTTTATAAATTAATTAATTTGTTTTATAAATTAATTAATTAGTTTTATAATATATTAATAAAAAAAATGTGTTTTTCATATTATATATAAAATTAAAAATTGTTTAATATTCCGCATACGATTATGAGTATAAAACCGTTGAGAAAAAAAATAATACACAAAAAAAATTAATAAATTTTTATTTAAAATTGTATAATTAGTTGAATAATTAATAATTAAATTTTTTTTTTTAGTAAAAATAATGTGCAATTAATATTCAAATTTATACGTTTCATTGCACGTAATTATTATTATTTATAATAAATAATAATTGTTGTTATTATTTAATTACTATTTAAATTAATAAATTATTGTAACTTTTTTTTTTGTTATTTTTTTACAGCAGTTTTATAACTCAGAAATATATGCGGAATATAAAATAATTTTTTAATTTTTACATGAATAGTTTTTTTTTAATAACATTTTATAAATAAACAATTTTACAAAAAAATATAAATAAATAATTTTAAAAAATTGTAAATAAAAAAAATTATAAATAAACCAAAAAAAAAATATTTAAACAATTAAAAAAAACTATTGAAAATAAAAAATTTTCGAAAATATAAATTATAATTAAATACCAAATTCCAAGAAGAAGAAAAACATATTTTTTGTTTTTAAATTTGTCAACTGGATTTTGAAAAATTTTTTTTCACATATTTAAGACAGGTAAAAATTTTAATTGTTTATAATTTTAATAATTTTTTTTTTTTTTTACTTATTCAGAAACTTATTTTGATTACAGTAGTAAAAAAAAGCGATTTAACATTGAAAATTAATTTTGGAAAATTTTGGTCCGTTTGAAAAATGTCGAAAAATTTTTTTATCTTCATGAAAATAAAAATTCTGCTTCTAGAAATGCCTAGATTTAATATTCCTAATTAATATTCACTTTTAAAATAAATTCCAATTAAAAACTTTCCAATGTGATAAAAAAAAAAAAAAAGAAATTTTCGAAAACTACTTTCTATCTATAAAATTAAAAATCAAATTACCGTTTTTCCTCACAAGGTCAGAACACTGTCATCCTTCGTTTACTCACAATCCTTCAGGAAAATTTTATCTTCTTTATAAGCCTTTTTTTTCTCGTTTATATATACTATGACATCACTAAAATGTTATTTTATAGATCTCAAATGTCACCACACACAGTATTAAAAAAAAAAAAACAAAAAAATAACCAGATCGCTCTCGATTGACCGGTGAACTTTGCAATGACCCTAAATGACAAAAAAAAAAAAAATCGCGTATACTTTTTTTCACGATAGTTATTTGAAAAAAAAAACACGTGTGACAAATTTTTTTTAAGACGAGAATTTTTACCAACTCGCGTGGTTTATTAGCGGCATTGAGAATATTATGAGAATATATGTATATATTTAGGTTAGAAGTGAAAATCGACGGGTAAGGTGAAAATTCCGGTCACTGGGTGAGCCTGTCTCTTTTCGACGGAAATTCTCACGTCTTTTTCTCTCTCTTTTTTTTTTTTTTTTTTTTCTTTTTCTTTCTCTCAACTTATATACTCGAGGGGGGGGGGGCTAAAATGTGTGACTGTTCGCGAGCAGACGAGTGTTGTGAATGAAATGAATCCAGAAAGTGAGTTACCAGTGGACTTATGTGTGTATAATAAATTCCTATACCCACTCTTTTGGTGGAAAAGAAAAAAAAAAAAAAAGAATCCGGTTGTCGCGGTACAAAAACGAATGTATAATATACGCGACACGTGGTGGGGTTAGGGTCAATGCGTGCACGAAATAACTTAACCTTTTTTTTTTTTATTTTCAATTCAAAAACATTATCTTATCAAATGTCGATATAATGTGAAATTATTTTAACTTTATGAAAAATTGTCTAATACTTTTTTTTTCCACACCGGGTTGTAATAAATCATGTGGTTTTTATATATTTTGTGAGTTTTTTTTATTGCGGTTTTGCACAGCAGTGAATTGCGAGCGAAATGACAACAATGAATCATTGTTTGTCGTCTGCTGCAAGTAGTAGAATAATTTGCGCGCGTCTCATTGGTTGAGAGTTTGGGAGAGGGAATTTTTGAATATTTAAAAACAAGTTTCTTTTTTTATATGTAAATAATTAAAATATCGTTAACGTGTGACTATTCATTTTTATATTCTTGTTTTTTTTTTTGGTAAAATTTTTTTTATTAATTCCAATTTTTTTGAAAATAATTAATTATAATTTTCGTAATTTAAAATATTTTCTCGGTTTTAATTTATCAGTTAAATAAAGTCGTAAATATCGATTCTTAGAATTTTTTTTTTAATCAACATTTGAAGTTTTTTATTGTTGAAAAATATTTTCGAACCTTAAATAATAGAATAACAATAAAAAAAATATTTTTCGTAATAAAATACTTTGTTCTTTTTTCAAAATAACAATGTTTTTTAATTCTTTAAATTTTCAGTCATACTATCAGAACACATTATTCATTATCGATTTTCATAAATTAAAAAAAAAAAATTGTAATAAATTTGAATATTATCAAAAACGAGTTTTCATTTAAAATTATTCTTGAAATAGTATGAAAATATTAACTTTTAGAAAAAAAATGTATTTTTAGCCATTAGATTTCGGTAAATTAATTTACATATTTTTTGCACAAAAATTTTTATCTCGTAAAATAATAATAATAATAAATAAGAAAAAAGGCAAAAAAAATGAAAGAAATAATTAAAAATTTTACAAAAATTTAATTGAAACATTTTTAAGATTATTTGAATTTGAAAAAAAAATTTTTTCTTTTTTTACAAATTTTCTGTTCAACATTTTTTCACCTTTTGTTGACTTTGTATTGTTATTAAAAATATACCGCGACAATGGGAGAAAAATAAAAATTCAATGAAAACAGTTTTACATTTTCAGTTAACAATTTTTTTTTAATATGCGACCTTTGATCATATGAAAAAAATTATTTAAAGTACAACGCTAAAAATACTTAAGGTTGTACGATGTCAAGTCACTGTTAATATTTATTTATTCAAATTTCTTTCAATATTTCTGAATATACCCTCATTTTTTTTTAAAAAAAAGAAAAATTTATGAACGGAAACAAAATCATCTTTGAAATTTGAAAATAAAAAAAATTTTTTTTTTACAAAGTTTTGATTTATAAATGAAATTTATTTTTGTACATAATTTTCATTTTATTTATTTATTGGAGAAAACAAATATTAGTTTGGCTTAATAAAAAAAAACAAAATAAAAAAATAAATAAAATAAAAAAATAAACAAAATAAAAAAATAAACAAAATAAAAAAATAAATAAAATAAAAAAATAAATAAATAATAAATAAAAAAAAAAAATAAAAAAAAAACAAATTAAAAAAGCGGCAGTTGCATCGGAAGAAAAAAAAATCGGAAATTAAAAATGCGATCGAAATTGGGATTTAAATATATTATATATATATTATTACACCGATAACCGGAAATGAGGACCTGGCGAAAAAAAACCGGTTTTTTTTTGAAATTTTTTTTTTTAAAAAATATATATTTGAGAGAAAGGAAGAATGCGTTACGCTCTGCGTGCGTAGATTAAACTCAACTCACAATTACAAACGCGAGAAGCACGTGCTTCTTAGAATATGTGGGTCACTTTCATTAAAAACATCATCCAACGACAAATTTCAAATTCCAACGTAAATTGTCCAAAGGTTTTTATTCTTCATAATTAATTTGACATTCGTATTACAATTTTCAACAAATTTGTATACAAATTTCTTTTTTTTTTTTAAATTTTATTATAACTTTTTTTTTTTTTTGAATTTTTTTATTATAATTTTTATTTTTTTTTTGAATTTTTTTATTACAATTTTTTTTAACCATAAAAATAAATTGAAAAAGTTCAAATTATAGGTTTTTCTTATTTTTTTAGAATTACTATTATTATTTTCAATTTTTATTTTATACTATTAAATAATACAAAAAAATATATAAATAAATAGTAAATATAAATAATAATAATAATAATAATAATAATAATAATAAAATTAAAAATAATAGAAAATAAAAATTCATATTTCGTTGGTTTTTACTATTTATACGAAAATGAATATCATTTATCTGAGTTCGTTTGTAGCTCATTGGTAAAGTATTTCGTCGGCTAAAAAAAATAGATTCGGGTTCGATTCCCAGCGCAGTTGAATTTTTTAATATATTTTCGATGTTAAACTTTATTTGGGAATAAAATTGAATTAATTATGATAATTATATTGTAATAAAAAAAATAGTAATAATAATAATAATATTAATAATAATAATAAATAATATTAATAATAATAAATAATAAATAATAATAATAATAATAATAATAAAAATAAAAAATAATAGTATTAATAATTAATAATTATTTAATTAAAAAAGGTTTTAATAAGGAAATAAAAAATCATTTGGTTCGTGTTGTAGATAATTTACTGAATACACAATTTATAATAATAATAATAATAATAATAATTATAATAATAATAATAATAATATAAGTATGACACTTACAATAGATAAATTATTACATTTTGTCCATAAGTAGCAGCGGCAGCTTCAATTTATCTGGCACGACAAAATATAATTTCTATGTCTCTTCTCTCCAATTTTTTTTTTTTTTTTTTTTTTTCTTTCCTCTTTTCATACAATGCTATTATTACAAACAAGCGCGTTTATAAATAGATAAAAAAAAAATCAAAACACGATTGTGCCTTGCGTACATTTGGACATGAAAAATTAAAAAAAAAATTTATTTTAATGTAAAATATATATATATATATAAAAAAAAGAACAATATGTAAATAAGTTTAACAGCCGACCTTAATTTTTCAATTTGAATAAATACAATTGTAAATAAATTGTTTGAAATTTGCGAACAATGCAGTGAATCTGATTACTTTTTTACTATTTTGAAAAATTACGTAAATAATTTTTGAAAAATAAAAAAATTAAAATAATTTTTTAAATTACAATTTTTTTCTATAAATTTACTTATAAGGGGGATAGAAAAAATTTTGCTGACATTCAACACTAAAAAAAAAAAAAAAAAATGAAAAAACGAAAAATTTTATAAATTGAAAAATACAATTTAATTTGTTTAATGGACGCATAGGCATTTTTGCTACAATAGAAAAATGCATACAAAATAGGAATGTTGCATGCGATTTTCACAAATATATGTCTCAAGTGAAATTAAGGAAAAAAAATGGTAAAAAAATTTTTTTTTAATTTATTATTTATAAAATAACGATATTTGTAAAAAAAAATTTTTTTTTTAATTTCACTTGAGAAAAATATTTGAATCGTTTTGCTATTATAATATGGGCGCGTTTAGAAAACATATTCTTGGCACAAAATTTAGCCTAAAACTATATGTATATTTATATTTATATATAAATGGTATTTCCAAAAATCCGGTTGAGGCCAAGAAGACGATTTTTTTTTTTTTTTTTTTTTGTCAGGCCATTAAAAAAAATTTCGTAATATACCTTTTCTCCTTTCTATTTCCGCTTCTTGCCTCTTCCTTTTTGCTTCGTTTCACTTTCCCAATCAAATATTACATTATATTTCATTCCTTCGTCACGAATATTATCGATTTTAGAAAAGAATTTCAAAATAATTATTTCAAAAATCCCTTTTTTTTAAAATAAAATTAAAATTTTTGGGATTTAAAATTGATTAATTAAAAAAAAAACAATTTGTAAAAACTGGAAATTATGTGGAAAAAAAGAATTAAAAATTTTTTTTTTCTATTTTAAAATAAAAATGTTTGATTGGAAAAGTGAATTTGCGATTAATTCAAATTTCGAAATCTTAAATTCTACTTATTTATCTTAGATAATTTTTTTTTTTCGTGCGTTATTTTCTCTATATTATGGCCACTGCGCTCTATTATTATTATTTTTTTTGTGATTCGTTCCTGCGATCAACGACATTAATCGAATTTCGCCATTTCTCGTCTCGTCACAATAATAAAATTTTCTTGTGAGCAAATTACGCTTTGATATATTATTATTATTATATATATATTACATATAAAAAAGATTCGTTTATTTAAAAAAAAAAAAAAAACGATTATTTTCGAAGCTTTTGAAAAAAAAGTCGCATAATCTTTTTTTTCTAAAAAAAAACCTCGCTTTTTCCAGACTTAAAATAAATACAAATAAAATTTTTTTTTTCCATTTTTTTGTTTTTTTTTGTATAATATATATATATATATAAATATTTGTACGTTGAATTGTCAATTGTAAACTAATTATTATTGTAAGAGATTGCTAAAAGGAACATTAGGGAAAATAAAACATTTCGAAATAAATGTTTGAAAATTTTTCAATTATGCATAAAAGAAAATTCGAAAATTTGTCAATTTTCAAAATCACAAAAATTATAAATGAAAAAAATTTTTTTTTTCTTCGAATTGTGCGACAAAATTTGTTGAAAATTCCTTTTTGAATTTTTTTATTTTCGAAATCGAAGAATGGAAGTCAGTTCTGGACGTCGTAACGAGGGAAGAAAAAATCAGAAAATCTGGCAGCAGTTATTAATAATTATTATTTTTCGATTTTTTTTTTATTTTTCTTTTTTTTTTCTTTGAACTAGAAGTGATCTGATTTTTTGTAAATATCATTTTTGTCTCGTTATGTGATTAAAAGAGGCCCTTCTTCTTATTCTTTTTGTCCTTGCCATCGACGGCCCTGAAAGGAGAAATCAAAATAATCTCCGGAAATTTTTTTTCCTTTTTTTTAAATTAAAAAAAAAGAAAACAAAACAATAAAGAGGAATATTGATGAAATTAATTTTTTTTTTGAGGATTAGAAGGAAATTTTGATAGACCTCACTTTATTTTTTAGGAATAATTATTATCTGAAAGCGAAAAAAATAATTACTGGATATTTTTATCAACATTTATACAAAAGTTACAATTACAACCAACACCAAGAGGGGAAAAATGCAATTTTTTAAATTACTTAAAAAAAAATATAATTTTAGTCAATAACAATTTTTTTTGGGAAAAAAAGAATTTTTGTCAAAAAAAAAGCAATTTTTTGGAAAAAATAGAATTAATTTGGCAAAAAAATAATTTTTCGAAAAAGGAGAAAAAAATCTTGAAAAAATGGAAAAATTTTCTAAAAATGTTTAAAAAAAAAAAAAAAAAAAAACATTAAATAAAATCGAGACAAATAATAAAAAAAAGGGGATTTTTTTCAATTTTCGAAAAAAAAATAGAACAATTTTATTATTTCACAAATTATTGAATCTTGCAATATAAAAAAATGCAAAAATTCATGCTGACAAAGTTTTGGAAAACAACATGCCAAAAAATCCACTTGAATTATAAAAAGAATGAAAATTTCATGCCTGATTTGAAAAAAAAAACAAAAAAAATTCTAAATCTTTATATAAACCTTACAACCATTGTCTTCTTCTCGAAATACCATTATTAAAATATTTGTTTCATGTAAACATTTAAAAATGGAAAAAAAATATTTTACCTTTTTTTTCTTTCTGCAGCAATCACATACACGCATTTTTTAATGAATTTTTTTATGAAAAAAAAAAAACAATTTAAAAAAAAATTCCCAATTAATGAAAAAAGTGACTCTTAATTACTAAAATTTTGACTAATTTGTACTTGAAAAAAAAATGAACACTGGACAATAATAATAATAATTAGAATTCTTGACTCCTTGCTGAAAAATTTTGCAGGTTAAAAAAAATAATGATGGTTAGTAAAAAAAATAATGTATAATGAAAGCATTATATTTTATTTGCGCAATTTTTGTTTTTTTTTTAATCATGAAAATCAACATTGTTTATAACTATTATTATTAAATGTTAAATAGCTGAGATTTCCTCTTGTCAAGCTGCCTTTGTCTTTGAGATTCTATTTTGAAAAATTGACTCAATTTTTAGTAAAAAAAAAAAAAAAATAATAAATGAGAATTCGACAGCTTGTTCAGAGGTTACAATATTCTAAATGAAAAAAAAATGTTATTTCCAAATTGTTATTTCAATAAGCACTACATTGTTCGTTACATTAATTCGCAAATTGCTGAAAAAGTGCAAAATTACGAAAAAAAAGAGGTTTATTTATTTATCCAAATTGTGCCATAAAAATACTGATTAGTCAAAAATTTTCAAATTACGAGTTAACTAGAAACTAAATACAATATTCTTACAGGGTTCTTCGTATAAAAATTAATCTACTTTTGTAATTTCTTTTTTTTGGTTTTTGGTGTTTATAATTGAAAATTTATCTTAATAAATATCTCTGTTTATACTATTCTTTTATTTTTATTTATTTTCAATTTCTTTTTAAATTATTTTTTTTTCCCTTTTACCCATTACGAAATTTTCCTTTTTTTTAAATGAAAAACAAAAAAAAACAATTTTTAATTTCCCTCAAAAAAAAAAAAAAATTATTGTCTCTAGAATTTGGTTCTTTTTTTAAATTTACATTTTTTGAATATTTACTACAACTTTTTAAATTCCGAAAATACTTTTCTAAACAATATGAAACAATTTCAAATTTTGTTAATTTTTTTCTCTCCTAATTCCTAAATTACATTAATTTTTTTTTTTTGTAAATTTTTCTCCTTTCGGTCATTTTCTCGATTTTAATTTTATTTACTATTTTCTTTCAATTACTTAATTAAAAAATTTCTCTTTTTTGTATTAAAAAAAAAATGAATTTGTTTATTTGTTTATTAAACAACGTCAATATCAAAAATTTTCCAAAAATGAAAAAAAAAAATTGAAATTCGAAATTGAAAAAAAAGCGAAGAATCCTGTAGGATTTTATTTTGAATTTTGTTGTTTTTTTTATTTTTTTTGTCATGTTCTACGATTCTGTACGAGATTGCTGTACGAGAAGCTGTAGTGTGTGTGTGGGACTCTCTTGAGGTGATTTGAAACTGGTGTGACGACGAAGAAGACTTCCAAACCCTCCTCGGGAACCGCGCATTGTACCCCCGCCACCTCCAGATCCCTCGGACGACATGGATCCGGTCCTAAATCAGGGAGACCCCCATTTTTTTCGTATACACACAAACAAACAATCAAACAAGCGCAGCCAAGCAGCAAGCACTTGCATGATTTTTTTTTTTTTTTTTTTTTTTTCATGAGCCAGAGCTGGACATCCATTCCAAAATAAAAGAGAAAAAAAATTGAAAGGAGAAAACTTAAAAACAAAAAAAAATACACGATGCTCGCTACTGATTTAAAAAAAAATTATTTTTTTTTCAACTTAAGTACCTCCAAATTCCTTTTTTGAGAATCACGAATTTTTTTTCTATCATTAATTTTGATTTTCTTATTATTTGATAATTTTAATTTTATTTAACTAAAAAAAAAATTTAACTCATTATTATTATTATATATTTAATTATTTTATTTATTTATATTATTTTAACAAGTAAACGGGATTAAAAAAAATAAATAGTGATTTTTTAAAATAGTTTTGATATTATAATTAATTATTTAAAAGTCCCATTTTTCGTATTAATTTTACTCAATTTGAAAATTATTAATTTCAATCTATAAACATTTTTTAAATAATAAAATGTTATAATTATTTATAGAACTAAATATTTTAATTATTTATAAAATTGAATATTTTAATTATTTTTAAAACTAAATAATTTAATTATAATAAAAATAATTATTTTTAATTATAAAAATATTTTAATTATAATAAAAATAATTTTTTTTAATTATAAAATTGTTATAATTATTTTAATTATAAAAATATTTTAATTTTTTATAAAATTAAATATTCTAATTTTTATTTTGCAATTATTAATAAGAAATACGTTTTTTTTGAAAAAAAGGAATTTGTTTTTAATTAAAAATACAAATCAAGAAAAAAAAACATTCGAACACTCAAAAAAATCAAAATTCTCAAAAAAAGTTGATTTGTTGGTACAAAGTTCAGGGGGATACTTACGAGAAAAAAACCTCGACAGTGCCCAGCTCTGTTGCAATCCATTGAAAGACGACATAATATCAGTGTCTTAAAAACATTTCAATTTCATAACAAAAATATTTAATATTCAAGAAAAAAAAAGAATAACAAATAAAAAACAAAAACGAACAATAATTTCATACAAAATCAACAAACAACAAATTTTTTGGACACAAAAAAATTAAGCAAAAATTGAAAAAAAAACATTATTCTCAATTTAAAAAAGAAATTTTTTCAATTTTTTTTTTTTTTTGCAAAAAAGAAGCAGTAATTTTATTTATTTATACAAATAAATAAAATTTTTCAAGTAAAAAAGAAATTTTTCCAAATTTTACTGCAGAAAAAAGTAGAAATTTTATTTATTTCTATAAATAAATAGATAAAATTTCTGCTCAATTATCCTTAGGTGAAAAAGTAATTTTTTCAAATTTTACTGATAAAAAAGCACAAAATTTTATTTATTTATACAAAAAAATAAAATTTCTCAATTATCCTCAATGAAGAAAAAAAAAATTTTCAATTTTACTTCCAAAAAAAGGGAAATTTTTTTTGCAAATTGAAAAAATTATCTGCATGCTTGAAGAGAAAAATTCCATCAAAAAATTTCTTTTAATAAAAATAAACTAAATTTTTTTGAGAAAAAAAAAATTAATTTTTTGAAAATAAAAAAAAAATTGAAAATAAATAACACATTCAAAACCATTAAAAAAAAAAAGAAAAACATTTTTAAACCACAACATCAATTATATATTTTCCTATATCTATATATAGAAATGAAAAAAAAACTGATATTATCACGTCAAAAAAATGTTAAATTCTAAAAATTTTGAAATTAAATTTTATCGTGAGCAATAAAAGCGCGCACATATCGGCAAAATAAGCTGCAGGCAGACGTGAAATGTCAGGAAGCGTCGTTCTGACATTTCCGAGAGAGAGTGTGTGTGTGCAAAAATAAGAAAAAAAAAAAAAAAATTCATTAAAAGCTCGCGCTAAATACATTATTCCGATTTTAAATTGTTAAAAAGCAAAAAAAGAAACAACAAACGAACGCACAAACAACAAAATTAAAAAAAAGTTTTATCGTCTTTTTTTATTTTACTTTCCGGCAATCTTTTTTTTTCACCTGACATTTGTACGTCTACGTACAGTTTTTTCTTACACGCAAAATTATTTTTTTTTTTTTTAGGGCGATGTGGAGGGAAGAGAAATACAGTGGGAAAAGAAAAAAATAAAAAAAGAACCCAAAAAAGAAAAATAAATAGTAAAATAAATAAATCAGAAAATAATTTTCATAAATACAAACAAGTGAATTTAAAAAGAAATTGTCTTTATAAACAAAAAAATCTCCCTTCTATTTATTCTACATAAGAGAAAATTAGAACCCATCAATCGTTAATTAATTAATAATTAGCAATTTCCTCTAATTAGAAAAAAAAAATCTACAAAGCTTTACCAATCACCCGCTCTTAATAATATTATAATGAAGTTTGATTAATTAACTCCCCAATGAAAATGTAAAATATTAAGAGTTCCATCGAATAAATAATGATACTCCATTGATTCACTCAATCACTGTATATAATTTTAATTAATCACCTTCGTTGAAATCAAAAAGGGACGCATGAATAAATTCTTAAGAATTATTGAAAATTTTCAAATTTAATTGAATTTTTATATAATTTTTCATTGAAATGAATTTGATAAAATTAAATTTTAATGAAAATTCGAGATTCTGATAAATGAAAATCCGAATAAATAAAAAAATTCCGACAAATGAAAATTCGAACAAATAAAAATTCGAAGAAATGAAAATTCTGACAAATGAAAATCCGAATAAATAAAAAATTCCGACAAATGAAAATTCGAATAAATAAAAATTGTGACAAATGAAAATTCCAACAAATGAAAATCCGAATAAATAAAAAATTCCGACAAATGAAAATTCGAACAAATAAAAATTTTGACAAATGAAAATTCGAAGAAATGAAAATTCCAACAAATGAAAATCCGAATAAATAAATAATTCCAACAAATGAAAATTCAAATAAATAAAAATTCTATTAGAATTTTTTGTTAGAAAAATTGTTTATAATAAAAATTCGTCAAAATAATAATTCGAAAAAATAAAATTCGGATCAATGAAAATTATATCTCAATGAAATTCGACATTAAATAAAAATTCAATTTTAGAACTTATTCACGTGTTTCGAAATTAAATTATTAATAATTCTTTATAATTAAAGAATAATTAACAATTTTCTTCTCTCCAAATAATTGTTAAATTATTTATCATCAGAAATAAAATAATTTACCTAATAAATAATTAACAATTTTTCATTTCTACTTAATAAATTGAAAGATTCCATTTCTACTTAAAAAAAAAATCGATATTTTTCCATATCCAACTAAATTCATAATTCCCCGTTTTACTTAAAAAAAAAAAAATATCGAATTATACCAAAGAATAGTAAATAAAATGGAAATATGAAAAAATAACCCAGAGGATATTGGCTAATTTAAAGACAGTGAGTGGATCTATCAAAAATGTGCGAATTTGTTTATATAAAAAAAAAGAAAAAGAAAATGAGAACCAAAATAAAAGTGGTAGATTCGCAAGGAGAATGAGAATTTTTTTTTTTGAAAAAAATAAAAATAAAAAGAATTACTTACTCTTTTGAATTGGCTTCTAAACTTCGCCTGCGTAATTCTTCAATACTGTGTCCCGTCTGTTGTTCCCAGGACTGTTTTTCAGCTTCGAATGTTCGTCGCTTTTCTTCTAATTCACGAACTTGTTGTTCCAGCGATCGTCTCATTTGCTCGTGCCTTCGTTGAAGCTAAAAATTTTCAATCAAATAAAAACATTTTTCTTTCATTGATTTTTGTTAATTTCTTGTTTATTTCCAATGTGAAAATTATTTTTCTCAAATTTTTCTCATTTCAATTTATTTTTTTGTTAAAAAAAAATTTGCAAATTTATAAATAAATGAAGTTTATTAGGAATTAATAATTATTATTCGTTTTTTTATTTATTATTAGTTTTTTGATTATTAATTTTTTCAATTTATTTAAAAAAAAAATTCGAAAATTTAAAAATAAAGTTTATTATTAAAATTAATAATTATTATTAGTTTATTATTTATTATCAGTTTATTATTAGTTTTTTCTATTATTATTAGTAACATTATTATTAGTAATAATATTATTAATATATTATTATTTTAATATTAAAAAATTGAATTTCAAAATTTAGTGAATTTTTTAAAAATGTTAGTCTAAAATTCTCAAATTAAAATTTTTTTAATTTATCAAATTCTTTAAGAAATCTAAAATTTTTGATTTCCAAATTGAATTTTTTTTCCAATTTCAAAATTCTCACTTTCCAAACTTTTGAAATTAAATTCTTTTTTTTTTTTTTTAATTTCCAAATTTAATTCAATTTAATTACAAAAGTTTAAAATAAAAATGCGAGCAATTTGCCTTGAGCATTGAAACGTGTGAAATTGGATTAAACGAATGAATGAAAAATAAAAAAAAAAGGAAAGAATATCGAAACTTTGTTTTCAAGCAGTTAAATTTAAAGTCCCTTACATCCACTTCGGAATCCTTGAGTTTCTGTCGCTTTTCACGAACTTTCATTTCAAAGACTTGTTCCATCTCAATTTCCATTTTCTTCATTTTGTTATCGTGTTCACGTTTCTCCTCCTCCAATTGCGCCAGCGGGTTCCTGAGAACAAATATCAATTTCCCATGAAGCAAAATTGTCTCACAAAACTTTACCAAACAATATTATATATTATATATGTATATATATATATATAATTCATTTTCAGTTAACTAACTACTTGTATAGGCAAAACTCAAATAATTCGCGTCGTTAAGGAGACCTTAATTTCAAATTTGCAAACATTTAACATTTCTCATTATTTCATTCATTTAATTTTACCCACAAAAAATATTATCGTTTTTCCTTTTTTTTGAGAGAAAATTATTTTAAATAATAAATTTTACATAAATAAAATAATAAATAAAAATAATACTTCCTCCATGAGAATATAATACTAATTAATCAATAATAGAAGAAAAATAATAATAAATTAATTTGCCAATCGAAATAACACACAGAAAACTCGAGAAATTTGGGGAAAAATGTAAAAAAAATAAAAAAAAAAAGTGGAAAAATATGAAATAAAACAAAAATAAAAAATTTCCCAATTAAATAAACGAAAGAAAAAAAAATAAATTTAGAAAAAATTGAATTTAAATAACAACTAACGAATATCAAATAAAAATAACAGAAATTAAGTGAAAAATGTAAATTAATTTACAAATCCTGAACGGAAAATATTATTTTTAATAATTTATTTATTTTTTTTACTACCCAAGCAAACCTACATTTTTACAGTGCATTTTTGTTTCCATTGATCGCAAATTTTTCCGAATATTTCGACTTCAATTCCTCTTACAATTACAAATAACCGATTTTCAGAATCATTTTTTTAAACTCCCCAAAAAATCACAGAAACAAATTATTTTCCTTAATAACCAAAAAAAAAAATTTTTATATAAAAAAAGGTTTCATGTAATTTTCCCAAATTTAAAAAAAAAAACAAATTAAATATAAAATAAAAATAGTTGAAAAATCGTGAATTTTTAGAGAAATTTATTTTTACTCGGAATAATATTTTAATTTGAAAAAAGGAAATGAAAAAATAATATATTCCTTTTTTTTTAAATCGAACAACGTCACTGAACTCGAAATATGTCACTGGAAAATATTGGAAAAATCAATTTTTATTTATCTCGAGTTTACTTTTGAAATATTTTCTACGATGGAGAGAAAAAAAAAGGGAGAGAGAAATTAAAAAAATAAAAATAGTATAGAGAAAAAAAATTGTATCTATATATATGTAGTGAAGACTTGTGCACACAAAACTGTATATTACAAGAGAGCTCAGCCTTAGAGAAGGACTTACCAAACCATCACGAAACTGTTCATCACTCCTGGGTTGCACAAACTGACCAATAAGAAATCAACATTAACAAACTTTTATTATAAAAAAAAAAAAAAAAGAAATGAGAGAAAACTACAGAAACACTTTTTTTTCTCATCTACACAAAAAAAATTTCTCCTTAAAAAATAATTATAAAACAAAAACAAATTAAAAATTCCATTTAGAAATTTAATTCATATTTTTCAAAATGAAAAAAAACTGAAATTTTTCAAAATTAAAATAAAAATTCTTTTCCAAATTAAAATAAAAATTATTTTCTAAATTACAATAAAATTTTTTTTTCCAAATTAAAAAACCAAAAAAATTTTCATATTTAATCAACTAATTAATTTTTTTTTTCATATTTAAAATTAAAAATAAAATTCATTTCTTTAAACTTTATTTAAAAATAAAAATCAACAAAATTCTTCTATTTTTTTTTTTTTCTAATTTCTTTACTTCTTTCCGAGCAATTATTCAAAAATGAATAATTTTTGGATTATCTGATAGTTTTTCGATCAGTTTGCATGCACAAGCTTTTTCCCCTCTTTTCGAATTGGAAGAAATGAAAAAAAAAAATTTGTTTTCAGCTTTTTAAAAGAAATTCGGAAAAATTGGCAAAATGTTTTTTTTTTCATTAATTTTTTTTTTTTTTTAGTTAGAGTGGAGCTTATCGCAAAATCGAGAACGAAATATATCTCGAGATAAACCAAAAGTGTGTGGCAATTAATTTTTTTTTTTTTTTAAATTATTATTTTTAGAGAAAAACACTCACTTGTTTGAAACTTTGGTTGGTTTTCCATCGACGCCAAGACCCGCTAAAGTACGACATCGGAAATTTTCATAGTGAACGTTATTCGTCACGTCCTTTAAGTCCTGAAGATGTGTTCTTATCACCATATTTCTCAAAGCGATAAAATCGCAGTGCTCGAGATTTTCGACTGTGAAATATTAATTTTTTTACGTGAATATTAATTTCCTTTTTTTTATTAATCAAATTGAGAAAAAACAAATTTTTTTTTATTGAAATTTACAAAAATTTACTAATAATTACTAATTTAATTTATAATACAAAAAAATACATTTTTTTTAATTTGGTATATTGAATTATAAAAACAAAATCCTATAAAAAATTTGAAATTTTAAAAAAATTTGCTCCAATTAAAAATAGAATTTTTTTTTTCAACATCGTCTAATAAAAATTAGGTATAAAAATTATATTTATCAGAGTTGCCACAAAAATTTTATTTTATTTTTCCCCGATTTTCAGTAAGAATTAAAAATTTTTTTTTTCCGTGACCCTAACGAAAATATTTCTGATTTTCAATTATACAAAATTAAGACAATAATTTTCTAAAAGCAAAAGTTTGAATTGAAAAATTTTTTAAAAAAATTTTAGTAGCATTTAAAAATTTGAAATTTTTGCAGTACTTTTCATAAAAATCTCTTAACATTTTTCTGATTTCTCTAAACCGTGATAAACTTGACTATATATTTGGTATAAACAAATATTCCAGAAATATCGGTAAAGAATTTAAAAAAATCGAATTTGTTTTTTTTTATTTTTTAATCAAATGAAAGAAAAAAGCTAATTTTATAGAATTTCAAATTGAAAAAATACCTTCGGCGACTCCCCAAGGATATTGTCTGCCTCGTACTTTTTTGCCATTAAGTTCGACAACTGTATTCGCGCCAACAACGGCAAACGGTACTCTATCCCTTAAAACTTTGTGCAATTTAGCATCTTCCTCTTCTTCGACTTCCGGAAATTCGTAAATTTTTATTTTGTGCTGCGCAATTTCGTTTAATATCTGCAAAATTTCAAAAACATTTAGATTAGCAAGCAAAAAATTTGAAAAAATCGAATTCAAATTCAAATTTTTTTTGAAAATTTTCAAAAAAAAGTTTAAAATCATAATTATAAAAATAGAAAAATTTTTTTTTTACCTGTTTTTTGAATTGTATACACTCGTCGGGTGTCATTGTATCGGCCTTTGCGATAACAGGAATAATGTTGACTTTATCATGAAGACGTTGCATAAATTCGACGTCAAGGGGTTTCAAACCGTGACCAGAGGGTGCGACAAAATAAAGACAGCAATGAACGCGGCTGTCGGGAATTTGTCGTCTCACAACACGGGATTCCGCATTCAAAAATTCTTCGTATTTCGACTCTATATATTCAATCACCGGAACCCAACTGCAATTTTTTTTATTATTATTATTAAAATTATCAAAAATTTACTTTTAATCGAAAAAAATGATTTATCAATAGTAATTTATTTTTTTTTTTAAATAAATTAATTATTGGAAATTAAAAACATTTTTTTTGGAGAATTTTTAGATTTTGATATTTTCTTTTTTTCTAGCAAATTTATCAAATAATTTTAATTACCAATTGCTGTTGTCGACGGCATCACCAAAACCAGGTGTGTCAACAACGGTCAATGTTAAATTGACTCCATTCTCCTTGAGAAGAACTTTATTTGTTTCGACGGCGACTGTTTTTTTCACCCTCAAACTTGGTCCCGGATATTCTGCACTGTAAATATCCGAGAGGAACATGGAATTTATAAGCGTCGATTTTCCAAGACCCGATTCACCTGAAATATTAAAAATAAAATGAAATATTTTTTTTTAAATATTAATTATTATTTATTAATTATTAATTAATAATACCCCTCCTTTTTTCAGTGAAATTAAAAATCGAATTATTTTTAAATATTCAAATTTTGAAATTTAAACACAAAAAAGATGAAAAATCGTCCCTATTATCAATGGAAAAATTATTTATAATTCAAAATTATTTTTTGGCGAAATTGAGAATTTAATTTTCAAGAGTAATAGAGGTTTTCTTCTCTTTTTTTTTACCACTGGGTTAAAGTCGGCAAGGTCACGCACTCAAATTACTATTTTTAGTCAGAAATAGTTTTGATGGCGGTCTTTCTATTAATAACAACCCTTTGCCCCTTTTCACACAGCATCACATACAAATTGTCTGCATTTAAACTCAATGAAAATCGCGTTCCTTTCACTATTTCGACGTTAATTTTTCATTCATCAATTTTCGCCTCCAAAAATTTATTGCACATAAAATTTGTCCTGGATTTCCAAAATATATAATTCATCAAAAGAGAGAATTTTTTTTTTTTTGAGAATATGTGTTTTTTAGAAATTATTTGCAAAAATATATTTTTTTTCTATTTTTATTTATTTAATTATTATATTATATTATTATAATTATAAAAAAATATTACTATAATTATGACAATTATAATAAGAAAATATTATTATTATAATTATAAGACAAAGGTAAAAAAAATATTTCTTCTAAATTATTTTATTTTATCGCAAATTGTACAAGGGAATTTATTTTACAATTTGCCATTCAAAATTTGTAAAATAAAAAAAAATTTAATATTTCTCGTTTCATTTCTTTTTAATTCGAAAATAAAAAAAATTATTTTCAATAAAATTGATTTTTGAAAAATGAAAATTTTTCCTAATTTTTTTTTTTCGAATTTATAAAAGAAAATTCATTTTTGACTTTGATAATGACATTAATTATCCGCTTGTTTCGATCAAGCTGGTACTTTATATATATATAATTGTCTTCTTCTTCTTCTTCTTTTTTTTTTCTTTTTCTTTTCGTTTTGCTATTTCAATTTCAACAAGGATATTGGCTTGTAAAAGCATCATCTGCCGAACACGTGCAACTTTGAACGCTCAGCTGCATTGAAGTCTCATTTTAGAGGCTCTCAATCACGCTTGAGAAACAACACACATACACACACAATTTTTGTACCTACTTGTCCTTTCTTCCCTCGTTTTATTTACTTACAAACTCTCTTGTTCCGACTCTCAACTTGAATAAAGACAAAACAAAAACTTAAAAAATAAAATATATAAAAAAAAGAATTTCAGAAAATTTCTCTTATTTTTCAATTTGTCTTCAATTATTATTAAATTTATTATTCTAAAATTTCTCTTTTCAAAAATTTTACAAGAAAATAATGATTACATCAGGGTGTCTACAAAAAATTTGAATTAAAATTCCAGGATTTTTTCAGGACTTTCCAGGACAAATTTCTTATTTTTCCCGGACATTAAATTGGATGACCTTAAGAAATAAAAAAAATTTTTGTTTAACTATTGTTTTCAGAAATTATTAAAAAATTAATTAATCACTTAAGTAAATTTTCATTTTACTTATTTAATGAATTTTTTTTAACTTGATTGACAAAATTATAAATTTTTGAAAATTTAAAAGCAAAATATAAAAAATTCAAGGACAAAAATTAAAATTCCAGGACATTTTTTCAAATTCCAGGACATTTCCAGGATTTCCAGGACTAGTAGACACCCTGTTACATATAATAATTATTATTATTTTTAGTTAAAAATTTTTAAAGTTATTAAATTTTGAAAAAACTGAATTTTTCTGGAAATTTCAAATTTTTATAAATATTTACTTGACAAATATTTTCAAATAATAATTGAATTTTTGAAGAATTTTATGAAAATAATTAATTTAGCCGAGAATTTAGCAAAAAAAATTTTTTTTATTTTTGTTAAAATTTAACATTTTTTTTCTTTAAACTCTTTTGGAAAATAATTTTTTTTGCCTCTCATTTCCAAAATAGTCTTTTTGTAAAAAAAAATTCTTTATATAAAAAAAAATCTTGATAAAAAAATATTTTTATAAAAAAATTGTTTTTATAATAAAAAAAATTGAATAAATTGATATAAAAATGAAAAAAAATAATTTAAAAATAAAAACGTACCAACGACCATAAGCGTAAAGTCGAAGCCCTTTTTAACTGCCTTTCTATAGACTTGATTTGGAAGATTCGCAAAGCCAACGTAGCCATCGAGTTCCTTTGGTTTTGTGGGCGGCGTGGGACGTGAATGAAGATTCAAGTTTGATTCCTTGTTGCTCTCAGTCCTTGAGTTCTCTCTTTTGTTACTGTCTTCCGAGCCATCGGTTTGATTTAAATTCACCGTCGTCGGTGGTAATCGTGATTTTGTCTGTTGTCCAGGTTGAGGTGCCGTCGTCGATGACGAATTATTATTCAATGTTGAAGTTGGCGTCAACGTTGGCGCCGACGGTGGCTGAGGCGGTGGAACCGTTGGCACCGATGGCGGTGTCGTTTCACCCTTAAAGAACAATTCACGCTTCGATTGGATCTAAAAAACAATTTAAAAAAAAAAAAATTCTCATTAATAAAAAATATTTATTTTATAAAAAAAATACAAATTTCTAATGTATTTTGTGTTTTAATAAACTATAATTATCAAATTCAATTGAAATAAAATAAATTAAGTTAAATTTAATAATAATTAATTTAATTAAATAAAAATATTTATAATAATAATAATAATATTATAAATAAATAAAGTTTTCTGTTACCATAATAGCAGTTTAAAAAAAATTGTATTGTTTTTTTTTCAACAAAAGAAAGTAATTTTAAAAACTGTGAATTTTTTTTAAAACCTTTTTCTTTTTTTACTGATACTGACAAATGAGCAAACAAATTTGATAAATGTATAACAACAACAGGAAATTCTCACTCTCGCAAGTGAACAAGACGAAATTGTAATTGAGCAACGTTCGTTCGACCGATAAATCAACTGATGATCATTTGAACATCACAATCAATTTTATATTTAAAATTGTCAATCATTTTCGTTTGAAATAGAAACGAAAATTGCCTACAAATTGAACCAAGTTACAAATAAAATTACAAAGATTTTTTTTTTACTAAAAATAATGGCTAAAAAATAATCACTGGCGAGCGCTACGTGATCATTAAGGAAAAATATTTAAAAAAATAAAAATATAAAAAATTACCGACATAGAAAACTACCTTATCGACTGATGGTAAAGAAATTTATTTTAAAAAATGAAAATATAAAAAATTACCGACATAGAAATCTACTTTACCGACTGATGGTAAGACAGATTTTTTGAAAAATAAGAATATAAAAAGTTACCAACATATGAATCTACTTTACCGACTGATAGTAAAACAGATTTTTTGAAAAATAAAAATATAAAAAATTACCAACATAGAAATCTACTTTACCGACTGATAGTAAAACAGATTTTTTAAAAAATAAAAATATAAAAAATTACCGACATAGAAATCTACCTTACCGACTGATGGTAAAGATTTTTTTGAAAATGCATTGAATTTTTCAAACCTGTTTTACCATCAGCAGGCAAGGTAAGGTAGATTTCTATGTCGGTAATTTTTTATATTTTTATTTTTCAAAGAATCTGTTTTACCATCAGTCGGTAAGGTAGATTTCTATATCGGTAATTTTTTATATTGTCATTTTCCCAAAAAGATGTTTTACCATCAGTCGGTAAGGTAGATTTCTATGTCGGTAATTTTTTATATTTTCATTTTTCAAAGAATCTGTTTTACCATCAGTCGGTAAGGTAGATTTCTATATCGGTAATTTTTTATATTGTCATTTTCCCAAAAAGATGTTTTACCATCAGTCGGTAAGGTAGATTTCCATACCTATATTTTTTATATTTTTACAAAATCCGTTTTACCATCTGTCGGTAAAGTAGATTTCTATGTCGGTAATTTTTTTATAGTTTTTAAAAAATCTGTTTTACCATCAGTCGGTAAAGTAGATTTCTATGTCGGTAATTTTTTATTTTCAAAAAATCTGTTTTTCTATCAGTTGGTAAGGTAGATTTCTATGTCGGTAATTTTTTGTATTTTATTATTAAAACCCTGTTTTATCATCAGCCGGTATAGTGGATTTCTAGGTCGGTAATTTTTTATATTTTCAAAAAACCTGTGTTACCATCAGTCGGTAAGGTAGATTTCTAGGTTGGTAATTTTTTAATATTTTTATTTATTTCTTTACCATCTTGTTAATTTTTTAACCATCTACATATTTATTTATTTTAGAACAAATTCAACAATCTCCAAGACTAAAAGATTATCGTAGTACAAAATTGTAATTATTAGTTATTATGGCTAATAATGATTGCATCTGTACCTCTTTATAGTATTTTCTACGACCTAAACGTAGTTATATATAAATAACATGTATAGAACGTATGTAATTAATTAATTAATAAATACGTAAATAAAAATAAATTAATTTTCTTTTTTATTTGGAGAAAAAAAAAGTAATTTCCTTTTTGCAATAAAAATTTTCTTTTCAAAACTAAACAAAAACAATTCCGCAAATTCGAACCGAGTGTGCGAGTTGATTGTCCTCCTCTTCCTCCTCGCTTATAAGGGGAAAATAAGAGCCGGAAGTTGTTCTATTTAACGTTTATATTACTGATTTGCAGAGAACATTGACATGTCAAGGTATATAGCATAATATAAGTATACAACAAGAGCACTTTCATGTTGAATCTTAGTACAACACACAACGTGTCCCGTTACATTCACGCGACCATTTCAGAATACAAATTGAATAAGTATCTCTCCTCCACCTCGATATGAGTATATATATATATATATGTATATAGAGAGGTATAGAATGACGCATTCGCCATACCCTGAGGGATATCATTTTCAAAGATCTTTAACTCACGGGAATTAATACCTCTCTCGCATGTATAAACAATTTTTCATTTCCTTTTCAAAAAAAAAATGTACAATTTTTTTAAACGCCACTTTATCACAAATATTCTCTCTCTCTCTCTCTTTCTCTTGAAATCAATATACATTTATATTTCATTCGCCGTCAATTATTCAAAAATCGTCAATTTTTCATACACTGCATTTAATAAAAAAGATTTCTCTAACAATTTATATTCTGCAGTTATATTTTAAAAATGAAGTCTAATGTAATAAAAGTCGACGACAAAAAGAAAAAAATTTAAAAATCAATTTCCGCAGAAAATTCAATTATTTCATAAATTAATTTTCTATATAGATATATGGAGAGAAGTTATAGGTCAAATGGAAATTTAATTTACTCAGGCATTTAAATAATAATAATAATAATTCGAATATAAAAGAAATTTATTTATTTTAACAGAAAAAAAATAATTTCCATGAGAAAAAGGTGTGGAGGCAGAAAATTTTAGGTTATGTTTAGTGATATTTTTATCTTGATTAAATGTTTATTTTTAATAATAGGAATAATTTATATACATTATCATTATTTCCACCTTATAATTTCTGCCATATTTTTACAATACAAGTTAAAATGGCCGCGTTTTTGCACTGAAAGACTTTTTGTTTCAAAAATTAATATAATTTGTTTCAAAATGAGGATAACTGTATTTTTGTACTATTTAGTCGTATGAACGTACTAGTTTCTAACCAAATAATACCAAAAATTAGTATGGTCCATACTAATTTTTAGTTTTTTCTAGTCAGAAACTAGTACGTTCACACGACTAAATAGTACAAAAATACAGTTATCCTCATTTTAAAACAAATTATATCAATTTTTGAAACAAAAAGTCTTTCAGTGTGCCCATATTTTTATAGAAAAATATAGCATAAATGGAGAAATTTTAATTTCTGCTCTATAGTTTTACGGAAAAATACAGCAAAAATGACGAAATTTAATTTCTTCTCGAATAATTTTTCAGTAAAACTATTGCAGAAATTAATAAGGCGCTGTTTTTATTCTACTTTTTATGAAAATTTACAGAAAAAATTAAAATGGCTGCGTTTTTGACATATTTTTACAATAAAAGGCGAAATTTTAATTTCTGCTCGATTATTTCAAAAATATAAAGCAAAAATGGCGCTATTTTAATTTCTGCTCTTTCTCTTTCTATTTTTTTACGGAAAAATAGATGAAAAACAGCGATAATTTTAATTTATTCTCGACTTTTTCGGTAAAAATATGGCAGAAATTAAAATGGCGCCGTTTTTGTCTTATTTTTACAAAAAATTGCAGCAGAAATTAAAATGTCCGTGCTTTTGCCATATTTTTTTCGGAAAAATAGAGCAAATACGTAGCAAAATTTTAATTTCTGCTCTACTTATTAGTGGAAAATGCAGCAAATAAGGCGAAATTCTAATTTCTGCTTGCGTTTTATGGAAAAATAAAGAAAATACGGCGTCATCTTATTTTCTGCCATATTTTTACTGAAAAATTAAGCAAAAATGTCGCAATTTTAATTTCTGCTCTTTCTCTTTCCTAGTTTTTTACGGAAAAATAGATAAAAAAAACAGCGACAATTTTAATTTATTCTCGACTTTTTCCGTAAAACTATGGCAGAAATTAAAATAGCACCGATTTTGCCCTATTTTTACGAAAAAATTGAATTAAAAACGTTGACATTTTAATTTCTGCTCTAGTTTTATGCAAAAGTAGAGCAAAATCGTCGCAATTTTAATGTCTACCTTACTGAATTTTTTGCAATTTATTTTTTTTTCTTTTGCAAATTTTTAATTAGAAACATATAATATTGTATACCTAATTTTAAATGTCATTCAAATCAATTGTTTTCACATTAAAAATTTTAACATTGCTGATTACTAGTTTTTTTTAAAAAATAAAATCGATTCTTTGTTATTATTTAAAATAAAATAGCTTACATAACCTAAAAATTACCACTCGAATATATATATATATAATAAAAAATTCAAAAGCATCGAAATAAAATGCTAATTAAGTGAATGACCCAATTTTTACAGCGTGTGAGAGTTCGAATTTCAATGAAAAAGCAGTTTTAAGTTACCGGGAGAGTTAAACGGTTTTTAATGAGTGCCAGTGTAAAAGGTCGATTAATTACAAGGAATGAATTGCTTCGAGTTCGGAATAGATATAGATATATATAAATGATCGAGTCAGAACAAAAGCCAGAAGGGGTAGGGGTTGGGGGGGGGTGTGAGATAAAGGTACTTGAAGGCAAGTTCACCACCCTCGAAAATGAGAAGGGCTGCGGTTTTTTTTCCCTTTTTCCTTCTTCTTTCACATTTTTTTTCTCTCACATAGGCCAATCGATTTCGTTTCTCGCCCAGGCACTAAAGAGAGAGTGAGAGAGTGAGAGAGAGAGAGAGAGAGAGAGAGAGAGAGAGAATGTAAGCCTGACGTCGTCGTTGGCTCTATGGCTTTGAAGCTCTCTCGACTGACACTGAGTGTATTGACCCGCTCGGGGTCTTATAATACTGAAATAGTGCACTGACAATGTCGTCAAAGCCACTGTATGAAGCATTCCCTGTTTATTTTCGGGCCTGCAT